AGTCGGTAATATTAGCATATCACATTTCCTACGTCTAGACACTCTATGTATATCAAACCATATGTTGAACTTGTTATTTACCTACAGCACTAATTCTATTTTTAAAATGTTTCCAAATGTTATATTAGGTAATAATACTAAGAGCCGCTTTAGTTTCACTTAAGGAATTTTAGTTTCAAAACCGTTTCTCAAAAATGAATCTCAGTTGTTTAGTTACAGCAGGTAATTACGATTCAATATCAAACTTTACTGCATCAATCAACTGAAGTATTTTATTTCTGCATAAAACAGCGGATCAAACGTTTAATTTATTAATTTCTAACAATTGAACTGTTTGCGAATATTTTATCCCCATGCTTAATAAAACAAAGAAAAAGTATGATCCTTGGGTTACTCTACATATTAAAAACCTAATCCAAACAAAAATATCCACTTGGTATATTAACTGTTTAACTAAATAAAAGAATAATAAACTTAAAGTAAACTACTATCTTTTTAATCTTTCTATAAAAGCTGAAATATTTAAAACAAAAAGAGCACACAAAAAAGAAATAGTTTTAACATCCCTCAGAATAATTTCCATCGTTTAAAAAAGGGATACTCACCTGAATGAACTTATAATGACAAATTGAGTTTTTCTGTTTCAGACATTATTAACATACCAATCTAAACCCCTATAAATATTTTTTTTGATTTACAAAAATCTTTTATAAATTATTTAATTCTAGGATACTACTCACTCTCTAAAAATTAGCAAATTTTAACGCGGTCTATAAAAAAAAACGGACAGTAAATTGCTTGCTGTAAACTCTCAACCTATTTCACTAAACTCTGTTTCCTGCAAAATAGTCAAAAAGTTGTTAAGAACGAAATCTTTAAGCACATAAACGATAATAAAATGCTCTCTGCAAATCAACATGGTTTTCTTCATTATGCGTGACTAATCTAATAGAGAGTTTGATATTATTTCATTTTCTAGAATATTTATTCAATTTATTGATGAAATCTCGATTTCGCCAAAGCGTTGATTTTCTTTATTATATATACAGACTTATGTTAAAGTTAAGATATTTAGGAATAAATGGGAAACAAAATAAAAAGGTATAATAAATTAATCCTTAAAAAGCTTAACTAAAGTGAGTCAAGTAAAGTGACTAGAAGTAGGATTAAAATTTTGCGGGGAGGTTGTTTTTTTTCGCTTCGCTACTTATACTAACTACACTTGGAACAAACCTGGGCACAACGGGACAGAATTTAATGAAAAAACCTTTAGTTGCCATCCATAAGTAAAGTACAACTTTACTTATACAATAAGTGCAGTTAAAAGTCTAAGAAACGCTGTCTAAGACTAAAGTCTAAACTTTTAAAAAAAGAAACTGCACTAATTGTATATGTAAAGTTGTACTTATAGTATAAAGGAGAAAATTTATAAAGGTTACTTAGCTAACTGTTAAAAGATGTTTCCTCATTAACTAGACACTTTCTACAGTCTAACCCCTAGTCAGACAAACCTATATGTTAGCAATATTGTTAGTAAATATAAAAACGTCAGAGCGAAAACCTTTACGTAAGTTACGAAACTTAACTGAAAAAAAATGTATTGGTTTATCTATTAGCATTCAATAACTATTAAAACCTAAGATAGAGGAAAATTGAAATAAAAATGAATTTAAAAGGTGGTTTTAATAGCTATTTTCAAAATGATAAAAAAAAAATTGTGATGATTTTAAAGGAAATTGTTTATGAAAGTTTTTAGAGAATAAGACAAAAAAAAAAAAAAAAATTAAAAATTTAAGATAATAAGACTGCCTGCTCAAACCAAAACCCTCAGTCAATTTGTGAGCACTCCCATGCGCCAATCGCTTTTAATTCAGTCAATGTATATTTAAAGTAGTACAATTAATAATAAAAAATTATGTATTAAGTATTAAGTATTAATTTAAATAATTCATAAAAAATTAGTTTACTGAACAACAAAGATAAAAACCAGGCTGTGTAATAATATAATAATTAATCTTTTTTTTTTTCTCGGACTGTTTTGTAAGATTTTTCAGAACTTTGAGACTCAGAGGCAAAATATTTTTTCAAGGTTCCTGTAAATAATTAACATCTACGATAACAATAGTCACCAGGTAAAATATCCTTGTATTTGCATTGATTGACATTTAATGTTTCGTCATAAAACAATATTGTTTTTGTTATTACTTTTTTTTTTACAAGTTACACAAATTATAACGTCTTCAAAAATGTTATTATATTATCAAAACAGTATTAGGGACCTCGGTCCTTTTTCTAAACTTTTTATACAATTATCCTGAAATGCTAATTTTGATTTTATTGCAGTTAAAACATCATTTGGACAGGTGTTTTCGAAATTATAATCAATGATTCATTTTTACACAAGTCTAAGAGCTTTATTTTTAAGGTTAGCAAAAATGGATTCATGCCCACACTGTTACTAAATATAGCTCGTTGCAAATATTTTCTTTAAACGATAGTAAATGTGAACTGCTAGTAAATGATTATTTAGATTCAAAAAATTTTGAAGAAACTGTAAAATATTCTTTGAATACAAAGCTGCTGCCTTAAAACACAATATAATAAATCTCTTACCAACAAAGGGTGAAAGCATGCACTTACTCTGTTCTTTACCAGCAAGATATGCATCAAAATACACAGCAACTCTAACTTCATTACTCCCCGTAACATGAAAAGCTTTAAATGCACTTTTTATCAATCTAGTGGCACCTAATTCTGTAGTATTTAACGCAAAAATGTTTTCAAAACTACTGCTTTTCAAATCTCCACTTTTTTCAAGAATACCTAACAAAAGTTTTATTAAGGTTTGTAATGGCTTTATTATAGTAATCTTTTAATTCATTTATTTCCTTGTTTTGTTTCTTTTTTAATGGTCAAGTCTTTAGTTGCATGCAATAATTTATGCCTTTCTTCGGTCATCGCGGTATAAAAGATTATATATACTTCTTCTTTTTTTTTTTAAATTTATCTACTCCAATTTTAACTTTGTTGTACAAGCTCAAATTATTTTCATTTACCAAAAAAAAATTGGGAATCGGCTTCTGAAATTCGAGCACACTGTTTCCAAACATATATCATTGCACACTGTTTCCAAACATATTCAAGCACACTGTTTCCAAACATATATTATATAACATTTAAAAACATATATCATAAATGCCAATCACATAACTCTATATTATTTATTATACTGGAGCTAATTTTATACATATATTGAAACCAATATATTTATTAATAAAGTAATAAATTATTTTTATTATATTAGTTGCCGAAATATTTTTTAAAATAATATTAAGACGGACTGATATGATGAGGATGAGAGGATTAAACAGGTTTTAACTTTTAATTTTAAAATTGAAGTTGAAGTACCGAGTTTCAGTCAAAACCTAATTTTTTTAAAGTTAATTTAAACCGACCAATTCATAGCAAAACCAAGAAAAAAATATACCGAAAAAACGTAAAAAAGTTATATTATTTTAAAAAGTACTAAAACGCAAATAAAATAATTTTTAGCTAAGGTTGTTAAAAAAAACTTAACTAAAATCGTTCCTACAGCTAGATATACTTTTATTTAAAAATCTAGCAGGTATTTTATGAAAGTATAATCATTTTCCTTTTTGTAAAATTTTTTACTATGACGTGAAAAATGAAAAACTCAGTCAAAATTTATTCTGAAAAAGTATACTTTATATATAAAAATTATCGAAAATTTTGTCTACGGAATTTGCCACATGACTGAAGTCCCTAATAGTATAACAAAATTTAGTTATGCATATTTTATCAACTGCGGAAAAAAGAGTATAATTTTTGGTCAATATAAAGTCTACCGAAAGATAGTGGATTGTTAAAGCGAGAAGATTTTAAATCAAGTTTTTTCTAAATTTCTTTTTTCACAACCTGGTTTTTATCTTTGCTATTAATACGTTGCAATAAATTAACGTTTTATTAATTATTTAAATTAATACTTTATTATTAATTTAAAATTATTTATTGTGCTAGTTTAAATATACTAAAAGTGACGTACATTGACTAAAACCATCTTTTAAATTCCTTTTTATTACAGTCTTCATTCATCTTAGATTCAAACAGTCATTGAATGGCTAATAGATAAACCAATACATTTTTTTACGCAATCAAACTGAAATTATTTTTAATTATGTTACGTAACTCTATATAAAGGTTTATGCTCTAACGTTTTTACATATACTAACAATATTGTTAACATTCATGTTTGTCAGCTAGTCGTTAGACTGTTGAAGTGTCTTGTTAATGAGGGATCATCTTCTAACAGTTACCCACGTAACCTGTATAAATTTCAATCTTTATTCTATAACGTAAGTACAATTAGAATTTATTAAGTCTAAGTTTCTGGCAATGGATCAGTGACGGATCCAAAATTTTTGGTGGTGATGGTGGTGGTGGTAGTGGGAGGATGTTGAAATTTTTTTTTTTCAAAAAGATATTTATCTTAAGTCCTAAAATATCTCAAGATATTTTAGGACTTTAAAATTCTGGTGGGGGAGGGGGAGGGGATGCATACCCTCTTTCCTTTCCCTGGATCCGTCCCTGCAATGGATGGTATGATTTATAATAATATTCCGAAGAGAATTATAATAAAATTACGTTTTTTAACTTGATAAATTATTGCCCGTATTTAAGTACCTTTAGTACATGTTATCAGCCAAAGCCGCCATCGTTCCTAATTATGTTTGAAGCGTGCACTGAAAAATATTTAGCTTTTTTAAAATAACTGAAGTCTAAAACTTTTAGACTTAACCACGGGCTCTATTTTTTTCCTTTTCTAACGCAAAAAGCAGAAACATGTTTTTTTTCCGCTTTTTAAAGATGTTTTTATTAAGCATTTTCGTCATTTCACTTAACTTATTTCTATTTGGATTATTTTGAACTATAATTAATATATTCTATTCAAAAGGTTTTATAAAATATTCATTTTTTATTAATTTTAAGATAATATTTTACATTTATAGCAATTAGAAAAATGAATTTTTTGTTAAAAAGAATTTCATTTGTAAAAGAATCACAGTTAAAAACATTGAAAATCTTTTTCTCATCAAATCCGATAGACTTTCCTGATATGGGTCCACCAATTCCGGAATACAAAAAAAGATATGGAGAGGCTGATGATGTATTACGATCAAGACTTTTATACCAAAGTCGTAAAAGGGGGATGTCAGAAAACGGAATATTACTTAGTACGTTTGCATCTTTTTATTTAAATAGATTTACAAGAAGACAACTTGAAGAGTTTGATAAAATTATAAACAAACCCTCTAACGACTGGGATATATTTTACTGGATACTAGGAAAAAAGGAAACACCACATGAGTATAATTCTGAAGTTATGGACTTGCTGAAATCATTCTCCAGAAATCAAGACATGGAAGCCAGATATAGACAACCCGATCTTATCTTTGAAACACGAAATAATGAAAAATAAGCTATGCAGTGACAAGAAAAATTTTATGCTGTATAATAAATTAATACATAAATGATAATGCTCTGTATTGAATTAATATACAAATGATAAAAAAGTGAAAATTTAGTTTACATAATTTTATAATTATGTTTAAAACCCAACAAGCATTTCAAAGTTTAATTTTTTGTTAAGCAGTGAAACAAGCACATTTTATAATTGTTACTTAATGATTGTTATTTCAGTAAAATTTAAATTATGATATAACAGTAATAGAATGAAAATTACTAAACACATTTGCTATGAACAGGAATTTACTTCTAACATTTTTTGTGTGTGTCTAACTTATCTTTTGTTGTTAGTTTTTACATAATAATAATGACCTTGAATGGTTTTGCAGTGTTAAATTATTTGATGTACATATGAACTAGTAAAATTGTTACTTATGTTAAAACTTGAAAAATGCAGTAATTATACTTAAAATTGAATTTTTTCATATTTACCCCGCATTTTTATTAAAAGGTTTTTTTATCAACAAGTTTGAAATTAATGAATAAGGTAAGAAATAAAAAGTGAATTTTGTGATTTCAAGATTGCATTTTGACCTGCTTTGAAAATTTTTTTTTTTGAGTACTTTATCATAAATTTTAATTAAGCGCTGTTATAATTTTCTTTATATATTTTTAATCATGTTATTATAAAAAATGTTATTATAATTTATTTAAATATACAATTTATCTATTAAAATTTGTTATAAGATTTTATTAGTAAAAACTCTGGAAAGAATTGCAGCAAATAAGCAATTATTTTTTTAAAATACCTTTTTATTAAAAAGTTAAAATTGCTTTAAATTTGTTTTGCAAAGTCATTTTAAACTACTGTTCAAAATTAATGTCATTAAAAAATAAAATTATCAAACACTTGAAATAAAATTCTTTATCAAATATTTTAAATAATGGTAACTAAAATTATTTGAGATACTCTATTATTTTATTGAAATATTTTTTATCTTAATTTAATATAAGAAAACATTTGAAGAACTTGACATAAAAAATTTGCATTAGATATAAATTGAAAAATCATTTTAAAAGGATTTTGTTTATGTAAAACTCTGTAAGTTTTAATTTTTTTAATATGGTTTTTTGTTTGTAGTTTGACTTTTTCTCCTATATAATTGAATTTAATATTTGTTAATATGTGTAAAAATGAAAAGATTTTTTCAAATCATACATCTGTAACGTGTATTTTTGTTAATTTTAAAGTTTTTTTTTATAATTTTTATTTTTAAAAGTTTTTATTTTATAAGTTAACATAGTTATGAGGTTGCACTTTTTTATGTTTCTAAGCCAGAAATTGTGTTAGTTATTATAAGTAATCAGTAATTTTTATTATAGTCACTGAAAACTCTAATTGATACAATTAAGTTTGTTTTTAGATTTTCCTATCAATGCTGTAATAACAACTCTAATGTCAGCTTGTAAAAAAAAAGAATTTATTATTTTGTATGGTTCACAAACTGGTCAAGCAGAAGCAATATCTGAAGAAATTTACGAACAAGCCTTAAAACGTGGGTTTCATCCAACCAGGTTTTGTTTAAGTCAGATTGAAAAGAAGGTATATCAACTATATTTTTGTCCAAATTACGATAAGGGACAAAAAAAAAAAGGCATTTAATTTTTTTTTCAAAACCAAGTAGTTCTCTCTGTTTTATATGATTTTTTATTTCCACCTATTTATAGTTTTCATTGGAAAAAGAAAGTTGTGCTGTTATTGTATGCTCAACAACTGGAGAAGGAGAGCCACCAGATAAAGCTTTAAAGTTTGTGCGCAGAATTAAGAAAAAAACATTACCACCTGATTACTTTAAGCATCTTTCATATGCACTTTTAGGTAAAACATGTAAATAAGCATTAGTTCATGTAGATTTATTCTATTATTGTTCTAGGTTTATATGTATGATTTAAAACAAAAATGATATTCATAGTGTTTAATCATTAAAACAAATTGAAGGTATATATCAACTTATCAATAAGTCTTGTGTTCAAAATGAAATTTAGATACTGACAATAGTTTTTATTTTTTTCACACTAAAATTATGAAAAAAAAAAGGGTTTTTTATCTAACATGGTTTACTATACTCACAGGCTAACTAATGCTCTAAAACAATGTTTTGTATTGAGGCATGGCATTCATCACGGTTCGGTAACAAATGTTCATTTTTTTTTATGTAACAAAGTATAAAGATTACATAATAAGATTAAATACATAAGAACAAAACTAAAGAAATCAGGAGTAATTAAATTTTTTTAGAAAACTAAAACTATATTAAAAAATAAAACATTAACAGTATTGTGATAATCCTCTGGCTAATTGCTATATAGCGGCCGCATTCCCATGTCTGCAAAGACAAGTTCAGCTCACTCAAGAACATCATAACCTTTTTCAACAGAACAAGAATAAGAAGCATAGACAAAGTGTTTTAAAAAAATAGAAAGATTTAAATTAAAAGTTAGAATGGTAGCATAGAGAAAAGCAATTAGACATTGCATCGGATATTAGAATATGTAATTTACTGAACAATACATAATATATGAAATGATAACTTAATAAGTCGAAAGAAAATTAAAAATATAAAATAATCCTTGACATTTTAGTCACACTTTTGTTTGTGGGTTTATAAAGACTCAAAAAGCATACAAGTTTATTTTTACTGATTGAGATGAAACTATTGTACCACTTGCAAGTGCAACTCACCATTAATATAGTTATGTATACGGAACCGAGAGTATTATCTCTTTCTGATTTTCTAATATATAAAAAATAATTCAAATGTTATTAGACTCCCCAGAATTTTTCCATTTTCAGTATGCTGTGTTTTCTCCCCAGATACAGACGTACTTTTGTTGCTAATATTTTACTGTGAATATCTACCTCTTGCGACATACTTACAAACTGGAAAAGGATCAGAAGAACGCTACATCAGTATCAAGAATTGTTTTAAGACCAAACGTTCAGAAGCTTTACTGGATTTCCATGTGTTAACAGTATGTGACCAGGCCAGCTACTTCAATGGAAAATGAAAATAACATGATGGAACTCATTAATGGTTGCAGATGACAAGATTCTGTATGCATTTTCAATGTTACACGATAATAAGTTATTGCAGAATCAGGTTACTCTTCAAAGTATTGAGCAATTTTGTAGTCAATACATATAGATTAAAAATTATGCCCAATAACATATCAACCTTGGCTTAGCCAAGATGGTTTCTCTTCTCAAAGTATCATCAAGATGCTGTGCAGTTGCCACCTACCCTAAGCGCTCTAAAATACAAAATATTTAGAACTCATTTTGTATGTCTAGTGTTAAGAAGCTCTCACAAATCTTTACATAATCTTCCTTCTTCTGAAGGCTTTGGGATGAAGATCTTTGGTGAATCCCTATTAACAATTGTCTTTCTGCTCCATTGGATTTATTTGAATTGAGTGTTTGAGGATGTAGTGGTGATATATGAATTTGTGTAAATGCACAGGGTGTGTAAACACCAATATTCACGATTGATAAGGAGCTAGAGATAGAATCTGTTACATTCCATATAGAAGGCTAATATTTATATTTATAAGCTTATATTTATCAAATTTTATTAGCTTTTCTTTTTTGACAAATGTATAAAATTGATGCCATTGTGGAATCCATACCAAAACAGTCCCAAGTTTTTTTAAAAAAAAGACAATTTTACCTTTTTTTTTAATAAGAACCATTCAAAATGACATTTGTCAATATGAAAAATCAAACGAATTAAACAACTTCAAATTTTATGCTTTCATGCATATATTCAATAGATAATTGCTTTAAACATAAATTTACATTAAAAAAAAAAATTGTAAGGGAAATTCATCTGGATATACAACAAAATTGGAATGAAAAATCTGTTTTTTTTGTCTTCTTGTACTGGTCTGTAATTTATATTCTCTGTCATGTGTTATATTTTGAAGGAAACGTTTTCAGCATTTAGATTTTACATATTTTTTGTTCCGCTTGACAAGCTCTTTTGTATGACATTTTTTAAATTAATTTTTTTTTCTTTTATTTACTGTATGAAGTTTGACTTCATGGGTCTTGGCCCCAAATGTAAAAATTGTTTGGCACTCATTTTTTTTCTTCTTAGTTTTAACCTTAAAAATTAAATTAAAAGCAAAAAGTTGCTTCTAGCACGCCTGTGCACATGAAGTACACAGTGACCCTCACTACACATATTATATTAGTATATTGTATCATTTTGAACCAAACTTATTTTTTTGAGAAAATATAGAAGTTCTAGGTTGAACAAAAATCTAAAATCAGAAATCTAGAATTTTCAATATTTCTTTTGAAAATTGTTAACAGTATTAAAAAAGTTTAGTTTTTTGCAAAGCAGCAGAATGTTCAAATTAATGAATAATTTAATCCAAAACACAATTGTTTATAAAATCTTTATCAAATACAAAATAGAATTTGGTTTAATATCTTTAGATGATTTATCTCTTGAGTTTTCTTCTATTCTTGAGTGTTTGTCTATTCATCTATTTATTTAGTGTTCATTCATTCTTCTAGTCTTGAGTGTTTGACCATTACATATTTATTGCTTAATAAATATTTAATAGTCAAGCACTCAAGACTAGAAGAGTGTTTGACCATTAAATATTTATATCGTTTGATGTAGTGTTGTATTAAAATAATAAAAAATTCTTGTTCGTTGAAAAGTGCTCAATATTTCGGAAATTTATTTTGATTATATATAAATTTCAAAACAGAACGGTAGTATCTCGAAGTGTAGGTACAAAAATAAATTCCTTATTTCCTCATTTGATATCGAAGATTGATCCTGGTTGGTTTACATCACGTTTATGCCATATTATACTTTTAAAACTTTTAATATTTTGTTTCAATGGAGTCATTAGAACTCATGCCACCTAATTGTAATTTTAATATTTAATTTGTAATAAATGGTTGATAATTGCCATTAGGCATGAAACTTGAAGTTTCATGATTAAAGTTTTTTCTCATTTATATATATATATATATATATATATATATATATATATATATATATATATATATATATATATATATATATATATATATATATATATAAATATGTTTTTTAAAAATCCTTTTATTTGTAAAACTATATTCTGAATTTTGTTTCATTTCAAATATTTAAGAAAAAACCAGATAAATGATGTTAATGCATTATATTTGAATTTTTTTGTTTTTGAATTTTTCTTTATTTTGTTAATAGAGATATAATATTAATAGCAATATATTAATCATATTAATATGGTATTAATAAAAAACAAATTCATGATGCATGGAATAAAAAATGATGGAATTTGTAATTACACCTTCAAATTTTCATTATTATGGTTAAATAAATTTTGAAATAAAATTTTTTTTTTACATTTGTCTACTAGCTCACAGCTGGCTGATGCAACAAATAAAATAACGATGCAACATAAAATAAATAAAATAACGATACAACATAAAATAAATAAAATCAAGTTTTATTTATTTTAATGTATAAAAAATATTGTGTAATTTTATTAAATTGTATAATGTTTATACTTTCAGGTCTTGGTGATAGCAATTACACAAATTTTTGTCTTTGTGGTAAAAATATTGACAATCGTTTGCAAGAACTTGGTGCAATACGTTTTTATGAAACTGGATATGGTGATGATGCAGTAGGGTAGGTATTTTGTCATTACATAAAGAGTAAATTGTTTATTATTTAATAGAAATTAATTTATGATGCAAAACTTTTGTAGGACAATGTGTTGTAGGTAGTTTTTGCGTTATACTAAAAGGCAAAGTTTATTTTTGTCTAAAGGAATTCTTAATTGCATTTATTATTTATTATGTATCATAATAAAAGATGAAACCACTGTATATAAAATTACAAATGTTTAGTTCATTTCACAAAAAGAAACCATTTGAGGACATTTAAATATTATTTAATCATAAGACTTAAATCAAAATAAGTTCTTTTTTGTTTATAGATAAAAACATTTTGGTGGTGAAAAGTTACTTTGGTCTTTATAAGTTTGACATTTGATATTTTCATATTATTTATTACCACTCGATTTGTATAGTAGGGCGGTTCAAAAAACAGAATTTTTGAAAACTATCTGCAGCTCACACCTTAATGTGTTCTATATGATAAAATAACACTAGATTTCAAAGTTTTTTGAATAAAAAATATTTTTAGGAATGCCTTAAAACCCTTGAACATTTAATGGGTCATTAATTTAATAATTTTTTTTTTAAGTATGTCTTGTTGTGTCTCAAATGAAGTGAAATTATATAATTATTTCAAAAATAATCATAATTTTATATTTAATAGCATATTATGTATATCTTTATATATATATATTATATATATGTATATATATTCATATATATATATATATATATATATATTTATATATATATATATATATATGTTTATATATATATATATATATATATATTTATACGAATTATTTAATATATAATATACCATATAAAGTTTAATATAACATAAAGTAAAAATATAAAATAAATAATATAAATACCATATAAAGATATACATAATATGCTATATTTAATTATATACTAATATGTTAATTGAACTATTTACAAAAGTTTTTTTCTCTATCTGGTATTAGGTTGGAGGTTGGTGTTGAGCCTTGGATAGAAGGACTGTTTATAGCATTATCAAAGCATTTTGATGTAACATCATCTTTATATGACAATACTATACAACATTTTGAAGAAAAGGTTGAGAGAATAATCATTACGCATATATCAGAGCATATTTCAATTCAATCTGAAAAAATTAATTTTATAGAAGGCAAATTAGATTGGCTAGAACAGTCAAGCATGGCCAGCTTGAAAAGTCTCTCTGCATCTTTATATGGATCAGGTAAAAAAAAAATTAGTTATAATTTTTAGGTGTATTTGATTTTTAGAAGATTGTTTTTAATTTGATTTTTATAAAATTTGTTTAAATTATTCAGACTGATTTTTGTTTTGAACATTTCTATTTTTCCATTTTTTTGAATTGAAATGAATAAAAAAAAATAGAATAAAAATTTAAATGTTAGAATAAAAAAAGATTTTTTTATCATAAAAAATATTTTAGACAAAAATTTTATTACATCAGATCATAGATCCATTACAACTCTAACAAACTATTATCAGGCTTGGTCGGAAAGTGGATGCAATCGCACTTTATTCCTGACCAAGCATATAATATTTAGTTGTGACAATTTGGCCATGGCTTTTTAAACGTACAAATAGTGTGATAAACTTGTAGAATCTTTTTTTTCAAATCAATCTTTGTACTAACAGTATATTCTAGAAGATAAAAACTTATTGATTGTTCTGAATGTGTTATTTTTATTTATAGTTATTTTTAAATTTATAAAATGTCAAAGGAATATAGTTTAATGAGTTGCAATGGCAACTATAATAAAGAAATTGCTCCAAAAAAAAAACTCCAAATTGAAACAGGCACTGCGGTGCGCAATTAACTAGGACTTCACAAATAAGAAAAAGATAAGAAAAAATTTAGCAAACTAAATTATTAACTCTATAAACAAATCTTTATCTTTATTTAAATCTTAAATTTAAATCTTTATTTATCTTGAGTCTGTACCATCGTCTATTTTATCATTATTAGCTTCTGCTTCATCAGAATTGTTATCCATAGCAACTGCATTATCATTATTTTCTTCGAGAGACAAACAATCTTCAACATCTTCCTTGATTGCTACGTTGGAGAATCTTCAAAGTCATAAGAAGTAAGAATAAAAAAGTTGGAATAAGAGAGCTGTGAATAGACGGCTAAATTTAAAATTAAGTTTTTTTATTGAAGTTTTTTCAATGAGACTTGACTGATAAATTGTTAAAACTTATTATTATCTGTTTAAAACAAGATTTATCATTTACTTCGATTTAAATTCAAATTATTTATCTATTTACATTCTGATAAAATCATCTTTTCAAAATATTTATGATAAAAACTAGTTTTTAACGCAGGAAAATAATAGTTATGTTTTCTGATCTAATTACGCTTTCAACAAAAAACTCAAAATAATTGAAACACAAATATTTTGAGCCTAAACGCGCAATTAACTGGGATGCACAACTAATTGGGTGCGCAATTAAGCGAGAGACTACTGTATATAATTTTTAAAAAAATTCAATTTTTTTTAAAAATAAATAACAAAAGTAAATCGCCCCTTCGTTTCAAAGCATTTTGCTTTGAAACAAATAAAAATATTTGATAACAAAACATAATAAAAACATTTGATAACAAAACAGAAATAAAAACATTTGATAACAAAACAGAAATAAAAACATTTGATAACAAAACAGAAATAAAAACATTTGATAACAAAACAGAAATAAAAACATTTGATAACAAAAGATTAATGATACTTTAATTTTTTTGAAACTTAATTTTTTTGAAACTTAATTTTTTTGAAACTTAATTTTTGGGACATTACTTTACAGGGATACAAAAAAAAACATGGAAACAGATATAGATTTGAATGTTCTTAAACCATCCAACGCCTTGGCCAAGTTGTTGCAACAGAATATTATATGTGTAGTCAAAAATAGAGTGCACTCACTTCAACCAAGCCAGCCACATTATCAGTAATAAAAATTTGTCAAAATTATATCGATAATTGATAACTCAATGGATAAATGGCTTACTTCTTAAACATCAGATAACATTGACTAAACTTGTTTTTCTGTACCTCAAAAAAAAAGAAAAAAAAAAAGTTATCAACATGGATTTTCCCTCTTGATAACTATTTTTTTTTTGTATCCCAGATATAAGATTAGACAAATATTTTCTAGGGTTGTCTAGTAAACCCTGGAAAATATTTTTCTCATGGCAACCAGACATAACAAGTAAGTTAAACATCAATTTTTTATTTTTTCAATACTAGGTTTATTTCATTAAATAGTGAATCATTTGTATTAAAAAATATTTAATTGTATTAAAATGTGCTTGATTAATTTAATTAATTAATACCAATATTCACAATGTATTTCATTTTTATAAATGCAAAATAACATGCTGGATGATTTTATCAGAAAAAAGAAGTCAGCGACTTTAAAATTTGAAAAAAAAATAAATATAAAACTTTGTAGAAGCATAAAATTTTTGAAATTTTTGAAACTGGCACATATTATAGATGTTCAAAAGCATGTATTTTATAATATGTTTGATATAATGAATGGCTATATAGTAGTAGTAGTAGTAGTAGTAGTAGTAGTAGTAGTAGTAGTAGTAGTAGTAGTAGTAGTAGTAGTAGTAGTAGTAGTAGTAGTAGTAGTAGTAGTAGTAGTAGTAGTAGTAGTAGTAGTAGTAGTAGTAGTAGTAGTAGTAGTAGTAGTAGTAGTAGTAGTAGTAGTAGTATTTAAACTGTAGCTGTGTTAACAGCAAGTGAGTTAAAAAACTCACTTTGATAGCTCACAACAATTTAAAAATGTACAATAATTAACTAAAAAAATAGTTAAAAGTTAAAAAAAAAAGTTCTAAATTGTTTTTTTTTAATGCTGAATGTTTGTCTAATTTAATCTTTAAAATGTTTACATTTCTTGACTTCCAATGGCAATGTGTTCCATAAATTTGCTGTTCTGTTCTTTATTGGTTAAACTTGGTTTGTTCTCTGCTGTATTTTTAATTGTGACCTCTGCATAATTTTGAGATTGATGGTTTGTTTCAAAGTTCTACTATTTCAATCACATTGAAAATTATAAATATTTGAATGAGATCTCCTTTCTGCCTTCTTTCTGACAATGTTGTTAAACCAAGTATTTGTAAAGGCCTTCATACTGCAGGCTTCTTAATTTCTCTGCGGACCTTGTCATTCCTTGTCATTCTGAATTGCACCCATTCTATTATAACAATGTCATCTTTCCAGTTTGGTTAAGAAGATGCTTATCCAAATGGAAATAAGAGATTTTTGTCTCCATTTATGCATTAGCTTTTGATGAACATGTGTGACAAATTACTAATTTTTGACCCATTTACTGTGTAATTAAATTTTATGTTGTTTTTACCATGTTGTATAGCTACATATTTACTTTCATCAGTTTGATTAACTATTTTTCTGAATAACTTACTATGACATTTAAATCTCTTTGAATTAATTTGGCATCGTCAGTTAAATATAATGAAATATAATAACTTAAATACTTTTAATACTTTTAAATACAATTAAATACTTTTAATACTTGGATTTTCGTGTTGTTATATTGATTTAATTATATTATTTTTTTATATATTTATTTTTTCAGTGTATAATTATTTTTTTATATATTTATTTTTTCAGTGTATAATTATTTTTTTATATATTTATTTTTTCAGTGTATAATTATTTTTTTATATATTTATTTTTTCAGTGTATAATTATTTTTTTATATATTTATTTATAGTGCAATTGTAATTTTTTTTTTTTTTTTTATGTAGTTGCATTGAAAAATTCTTTTTTAGATAATTTTTTTGTTTATTTTTCTTTTTTGTTTTTGTGTATTTTAATTAAAAGCCTTAATATTGTATTTTAACGTTGCTAATTGAATTGCAGTGACTAATCAGTTAGTTTCAAAATTATTTCGGTGACTGTAAGCTTATAAATATTTTATGCTGAAACATTACTGTGAAAATCAACTTTTGTAGGTTTAAGTCAGCAGTAATTGATAATTAGAAGTTTACATTTACCTAAAAGTTAATTTGTTGTTCAGTGCAGAAATAAATTTTTTAGAAAAAGGTTAAAAATAATCATATTTAAAAAAAATGCAAAAGTTTTAATTTTAATTAATTTATAAAAGTTGAAGATAACAAAAACAAAAAAAAGCATAAAGAAAAAAAAAACTACTTAAAAAAATCATCAAAATAAAAACAACTCTTATTTACAAGATTATTTGCAAGAGTCAGCTGATTCTTGCAAATAATCTTGTTTTAAAAAAAGAGAGAATTACCGTGTTTTATCAGATGTGCTAACCATCAATTTTTTTTTTTTTTTTTTTTTTGTACTGAAATTATACATATTTTTTTTGCTTTTTTTTTTTTTTTTACTGAAGTTAGACTAATTGGCCACACACCCTCATTTATTAAAGTTAGAGTTTGGTTAGCTCCATATCCCTATTGAAATAAAATCCACACTTTTATTTAAATAAAATTAACACTAAATTAGTAAATAAATAATTATTTTAAATAATTTTTAACACCCATACCAACCAGTTATTGATTTTATATTTATTTTTAATTAGTTCTCAAAATTCCATCTTCTCCGGAACCATTTCTTCAACTAGACTTTTTAAGCGATCAAAGCATAGAAGTAAGTTGATAGTTTTTTTTGTTTTAAATTAAAAAAAAAACAATTTTTTTGGTAGTTTTCTTGCTGTGTAGTTTTTTATGGTGGGTTTATAGTTTGATATTTTATTTGATAAGTTTTTAATTGTCAAATAAATTAAAAAAATAATCAATATTTTACTCATAGCTTGAAAATACAACTTCAATAACTTACCCCAATTCAGCAACAGATGTAAAAAGTGTTAGAGTTATTAAGATTAGGCAGTTAACACACGACCCTTCTGTCAAAAAGACTTTTGAGATAGAGTTGGACATTCAAGTTAATAAAAATCTTTTTTTTATATCTTTATTGTGGGCAGGTAGGTATGTATGTTACCATTGTACCAAGCTATCTACATCTACAGTAACATATGTGGCTGTTATATAAGTAGCTAGGTACATAAGCAGGTTACTATCAATGTAGACTTTAGCTAGATGTCATGTTTTCAAAATTTATTTTAGGATACTGAATTTGTTTATGAACCTGGTAATTCTATTGGTGTGATTTGTTATAATGAAAAAAAAGATGTTGAGTATATATTTAACAGGTAATTTGTTTATAAAAAAAGTATATACCAATATGTATGATGTAACTTATTATGTACTCGATGTAAATCATCAGTTATGTTGTAAGAAATTCAGTATTATTGTTAAAATGGAATGTGTGTTGACTTTTTCTTGTCCTCAGTAAACTCAAAATTCTATAATTAATTATACAGGTAAAGAAATAAACAAACTTTGTTTTTCGTCAATTGATGACAAGTTGAACATTTTTTAAACAACAAAAATAAAAAAATATTTAAATTTAAAAGTTATTTTCCTTATATCTTTCTAGGAAAGTAATTAAATATTAAAATTTCTAAGATTTTAAATGCTTCAGAAGGACAGATTGATTTTTGATATTTTTTTAAGGAAATCAAAATTTTAAGAATTTTTATTTCGAAAAAAAAAAAAAAAAAGGTTGCATTACTTTATTTAAAAAAAAATAAAAATAATAATAAAGTATTTAATTAAAATGATCAAAATATCTCACTTTTAAAAATACATCAACAAGTAGAACTGAGAACATATTTCAACATTATATGCGTTGACTTTTGATAAACTTTATTCACCTCATGTATCTAATAATTATAGAAATATAATGAAATAATAATTATAGTTTCTTCGATTTAGATTAAAATTATCAGAGTATGCAGATAAAAAATTCACTTTAAATGTAAGTTCGGATACAGTTAAAAGAGGTATTAAATTTTTTAGAGCTTTGTGATAAGAGTTTTGCAGTTAGTGCTTTTTTTTATTATATAGTTTTGAGATTCTTTAAAGTAATGTTTATTTTACTTGCTCATAGACAAAAGTGTGATTTTTTTTTTTAAAGTATCAAGTTTAAGTAATCAGTGATTAATTTTTTTAATAGTATGCATTTTTAAAATACATTGTTGAATTTAATTTTAGTATAAAATTTTTTTGATCTTATTTTAAACACTTTATTTAAAATAATCACCAATTCTTCTGTGTTCTCCTGATATATCAATCAATCACATATCAATCACCAATTCTTCTGTGTTCTCCTGATATATCAATCAATCACATATCAATCATCACTAATTCTTCTGTGTTCTCCTGATACATCAATCAATCACATATCAATCATCAAGTAGAACAATTTCAGATCAAGTTTTCTTTCCTAAATAACTCTCAGAGCAAATTTGTAAACTAAGTCACAAAAAACTAGTGGTTTTATCAACTTCAACTAAATCGGCTAGAAGTTGACTAGTAGAAAATCGAAATCAGTCTTTGGAAAATTGAAATCTATTTAATCGACTATGAACTTCCTACTAATTGACTAAAAGTCAATTTAGTCATGTAAAAATCTTAAAATCCTTATATCTTTTCATTGGATTTAACTTTTTGTCTTTAGTTTTTGATTGTTCATTTAATAACAGTAGTATGTACTATTATAACTACTATCTAGTTTTTTATTTACTCTCTTAATATTTAATTCATAGTTACTAATTAATTATTAGCATTATTTACTTTCTTATAGTTTTATATAATTCATAGCATGTTAGCATTGTTTATACCTAATTAAACTTTCAATTTTGTATTTCATTCATTTTTTTCTTTTGTTTACTTGATTGTTGTTATTTTCATAAATACTTTCTCTCCTCCATTATTATTTGAGTGATTTGATATTAAATAACAGAAAGCAAATATCAGTTACTTTAATATTTTTATTACAATTTATTTCAAGAAAATAAATTATTTTAATATTTCGACTAAATTGACTTTTAGTTGACTTATAGTATTTTTCAAAAATTTATTCGAAAATCAAGTTATTTAATAGCTGTAAAAACACTACAAAAAACAACTATTTAAACCATCACCCCCCTTTCTAAGTACAAAGTGTTGCAAAATTTGAAGTTTGAATAAGGCTTTACAGCTTGGCAAATTTCACCATGTTGCATTTTATTATGCAACATGTAAAGTTATAAAGATTTTTGTAGTGTTAGTTCTATTATTTTTATATTGTTATTGATTCTTTTGTAGACTGATTTATATTTTATCTCTATTTTTACCTGTTTGATTGCTTGTTTTTCAAGTTGAGTCCCAAATGGCTACAATGTGTGTAACTCTACCTCTGTGGATGGCAAAACAAAAGAGCTAGTTTTTTTGCTACTTTGAGCCTGTTACATTCTGTTGTAGTTTTGATTACTTCTGCAGAACAGGAGTTTTATCTGGATTGATTCGTTTTGAACAAATATTGATAATTTAATCAATGTATTTTAATTAATTATAAAAATAACAATTTTTAATGAGTTAAAAATTTGCCAAAGTTTTCAACAGTATATGATCAAAATTTATTAAAACACAAAATCTATTTTGTTAAACTATCTTTACAATGTCTTCCCATCTATGAGGCATAAAGTCAAATAAAAATGCAAACATCAATGGGAATCAAGTGCAATATTTTTTTGATTTTTCTGAATAAATTAGCATGATTTTTAAGCTTGATGCCTATATTTGATGGTCAACATGTTTTTAGTTATAACCGTCTCTTAACTCTATAACTCAGAAACACGATCCTTGATGAACAAGGCCACTGTGCAAAGAAACTAGTTGAGCAACTTGACATTAAACAAACTTGATTCCATCTGATCTGAACTGCATAAACTTGTTTTCATTACTAAAAAGAATCTTTGACCAATGGAGACTATTCCACTTTAGATGCTGTGGTGCTAATTCTTCATGGGCGCTTTTCAGTTTTTCAAGGAAATCAATGGCTTTTAGGCTGGACATCTTCCCAAACAATTTCCTACTAAAAAACAATTATGTCATGTAATTGTTTTGAAGTAGAAATGCTACAATTCATTCCATAAAAATATTTCTTATGTTAATATAAATCAATAGCTGTCAAATTAAGTTTTTTGTTAATTAGTGTCACCAGCTTTTTATCCTGACAATATGTTGTTTTAGGTGGTCCTAAAACAACATGATTGTCAGGATAAGATCCTGATTACTTTCAAATCTTTGTAGATCCAGTAAGTTCATTTTTCTTTATAATTTGTCTATGAGCAGACTTACCAGTTTTGTGAAACTGTGCTGTCTTATGAAATGTATTTTCATTTAAATTGATCATGCTATCTATTTTTACTGGACATTTTAAACATTTTTTATGCCCCGTGGCCTCAATCACTTATAAATGAAGCTTTTTAATTATTTTCACAAATTATTTGTTTACAATAAGTTAGCAATTTTTTGGAAAAATGTGAAAAGTTTCAGTATGTCCCCAAATTTTTGAGCTTTTTTAAAAATCATTAATTTTAAAATAAATTAAAGTATGTTAATTAAGTAATCGATATTCCTTCAAAATTGGGGTAAAATGATGGTTCTTTTGGGTCAATTTCTAGTTTTCCTGGGCTACAAATGCCCCTAATATTGGCCAGTAGACAAACCATTTCTTATTAAGTGCAATTTTTATTGTTACATCTGAGGTGTCAAACCTTCTGATGAAAATGGGGTAAAAACTGTGGCTGATTTCTAAACTCTAGACTGCTACTTTTTACTGTAACTTTACCATCATATGCTCAAAAATCTTTTATTCGTCCTAATTCTCCTAACATGCACAAGTTTTTTTGGCTTATACAATTTACAATTTTAAAAATCTTTTATCAACCGCTTTCTTGCAATTAAGCTCTTTTTTTTTTGTTTATACAATACTATGTGTATATATGAGAAAAAAAAAACCAAAAAGTTATGTAAACACATACTAAAATTCATAACTCTTTTTTTTAACAAATTTAAAAATACTTTTAAGCTAAATTGTTATTTAAAAAAATCATTTTACCATACCATAACAGGGTTTTACATGTGTAAGGGTTTTAAAAATGTGATTTGGCATTTATTTACAATCCTGTTGAGTAGCGTTAAAGAACTTTGATAATGTCATAATGCATTTTCTTATCATAATTTACATGGTTTTAAATAATCATTTATACTTTTTTAACTTACATCATTGATTGGGTTGTTTTATTTGTTGTTTTTTAATATTGGATTTTTTGTTACAACTGTCACAGTTACAACCGTCATGACAAAAAAAAAAAACATAAAAATGTTTTAAAACTTTAAGTAAAAACTATGAAACTCAGCATATAATAATATCAATATGTGCTAAATACACACCAGATTATTACACAAAGTCTGATAAGGTTTTTTTGTTCAAAAAGGGATAAGCAGAAAACATTACGACTGTCATGCTACATTGAGTTATTATTTGAAAAAAGCATAGACTTTAATACTGTTACTTTTCCATACTAAATTATATAATAGTATTTCACATTTTTGGAAAGTTTCAAGTCATTTCCATTTTTGTTTCATTTTTAATAGCTTAAAGAGTGTCAAATGTCACTCTTGTGGAATCACCAATAATAAAATTTATATACATTCTTGCAGAACAATTGAATATGGAATTTATATATATATATATATATATATATATATATATATATATATATATATATATATATATATATATATATATATATATATATATATATATATATATATATATATATATATATATATATATATATATATATACATATATATATATATATATATATATATATATATATATATATATATATATATATATATATATATATATATATATATATATATATATATATATTGTTGGATATAACTCAGTAAGACTATAATTTATTAAAAAATATTTTACTCAAAATATATAATGTAGGTGCTAAAGTTCCTGACTATATACCAAAAATAACTACCCTGAGAAATATCTTTATGCAGTATGTTGACTTTCGAGCAGTCCCACGAAAGGTAAACACTTTTATAATAGAATAGCATTGGATTATTTTTGTTTGCTGTTACTTAAACAGTATATTGTTTTTATACATTTGAATTATAAAATTTGAGATACACAATTGTTCTGAAGCCTTGAACCAAAGCAAAAAATAAAATCTTGTGAAGCCTAGAACCAAAGCAAAAAATAAAATCTTGTTCAGATATGGTTTAAAAGATGTTTTAAGTTTCTTAAGTTTTCTCATGCAACAAGAATTATGATTAACTGATTTTGCTAAAATTGACTAAATAGGTATAGAATCTAGTTTCTAGATTTTTTAATATCCTCTGAATAAAAATAAAACAGCAACTGGAACCAGAAAAAAACATCAGACATCATATTTACATTTGACTACTAATTTTTTTTTGTTTTAGAATATATAAAGTTATTATCTTCTTTTTATTTTCCTTATTTTAGTTGAATTTACTGATAATTTTTTTAAATATTTTGCTTAAAAAATTTAGCTAAAGCTTAAATTTAAAAATATGTTTCTTAACTTTTTTTCATTAATGTTTTGATGTTATTGATGTTATATGCTCATGTTGAGAAAGGTGGTAATATGAGGTGTACTAAAGAAATTAAAATTGTGGTGTTTTTTTTTTTTTTACTATTAGTTACTAAGGGTTTTGGTTTAGGCAGTTTTAATTTGGTACTTATTTTTATTACAAGAATTCTTGTTACCTGAAATTATGAACTGCTCGAGTTTATTTATTTATTTTTAAAAATTTTTAATTATTTGTTTTTCATATTTTTAAATTACAGGCCTTTTTAAGAATGTTAGCTGATTACACTTATAATGATTCTGAAAAAAAAAGAATCCAAGAACTTTGTAGTTCTCAAGGTAAATATGTTGGTTTTTAGTTTGTTTTTAAAAAAAGTATTTGATAGTTGTTTCTAAAAAAAATTTAATGGAATAAATAAATATAAAAGATAACTTAAGAATCACTAAATTAATTTTAGGAAGCAAAGACTTTGATATGTTTGTTCGAGCAAATCTTATTGGTTTAGTGGAATTGCTTCAAACATTTCATAGTTGTAATCCACCAGTAGAAAGACTTATAGGTATTTTATTGTTCTTTAAACCATATATTTAGGTCTTTAGAAAAGTTTGTAAACTCCCCTATAAAAAATTAAATAGTTTTTATTTTTACTTTTATTTTATGTTTATTTTATATTTATTTTAAATGTTCAAAATAATTTTCATCATTATCTATACTAATTTGCATTCTTTCAAGTTGTTTTTATACTCTTCTTTGGGTATACTTTAAATTAGCATCGTTATGTGGTTTTTTTGTCTTTCAACATCAGTATTGTCATCAAGATTTTATCAAGTCGAATAGCCAATAATCAGATGGAGCTAAGGCTGGTGAGTATGACATGTGGCAAATTATTGTGATTCCAGCTTAGTTAAGACAATTTATGATGATTTGAGTTACATGGGGTCAAGCATTATCATGGAGAATTTTAAAATTTTGAGTGCCTGTTTTAGCTCTTCGTTTATTTATCTTGCATATAAAAAGTTTCAAACAATTTCTTATATAATATTGACTAGTAATGGTGTCATGGTAAAATCTGTAGCATTTTACAATACTTCTTGGACAACTAGAATTAGCTCACTTGAGTCTAACTTCTATCAAATAAAACCACAACTCGTCCCCTGTAATAACATCACATAGTCTCCATCGGCCATTTCTGAAAAGGGTGATGGAGACTATGTGATATTATATTTTCTTGAGGGTGCCCTGAGCGAGGATGATCTTCAAGACTTACTACTATCTCTAAATAAAGCACCCACTTGGCAACTGTACTATATTTTGATGCTTGATTACCATGAACTACCAAAAACAATTCATCAGATATGGCTTGTACTGAAACTCCAAGCAGAGCACAGGTTTTAATATCTGCTCAATATTCAAATTTTTCCATTTATAAATTTTTTTTTTAATTGTGTTTAATAAATTTCAAATAATTTTTTTAATACACATTCAAAATATTTCAACAAGTACTTAAAATGTTCATAATTAAATACAGTTTAAGATAATATGTAAATATTTAATTATTTCTTGTCCTATTTTAACTTTATAGATCAAGTTCTTCAAACTTTTAAACTTTAAAAAAAATATTTTTTGGGGTCTCTCAAGACCCTTGAACATTTAATGAGTTCCTAATATTAATTTAAAAAAATAATATGTTAGATTTAACAGCATAAAGAATAAAGTTAATTAACTAAAAATTAAAAAAGTGTACTTTTATATATATATATATATATAATTTTTTCAATAATTTTTTATTTAATAAGTTTTTAATAATATAATTATCATTTTTGAAATTATCATATAATTTTCGCAAAAATTTTAAATAAATTTACATTGTTTTTATAATTTACTACATTTTGTTATATTAATTATTTATGATATTTTTGTTGAAAATTATTTAAATATAATTAGTTTATATAAAAATATATTTAAAACACTTGATTATTGTTTGTTTTTACTTTATTCTATATGATCTTTTTGTTTTCATTAATCAGAAATGTTGCCAAGACTGTTGCCAAGAGAGTATTCTGTTGCCAGGCAAAGATTTAATTTTATTACTTTTCTCTTGTGTAATTTTTTTTTTATATACTGATTTTTCTGTATGTTAATATCTAATCATTTGCTTACCACTGTGAACCAAAAAGCTTATTTGGTTTGATAGGCTGTGACCATGGATTTTTATTAGTAATGCTTTTTTTTTCATTATGGTAACATGATTTTGAAAAAGTTAAAATTAATTTCACTTGCCAGAGCAGTAAAATTTTGTTATTTTCATTAAAATCTATTTTTATTAAAATCTGTTTTCCCTAAAATGTGTATATGAATAAACTTTTGCGTTCCAATTTTTATTGTGTTTATTCATACAATTACTTAAATAAAGTTATTGTCACATAAATTTTTTTATTAGGGAATAAGTTGCACTATTTTGATAAGCTAAAACACAACTGATAGAGCGCTTCTCCCTTTATAAAAACAATGTTTTAATAATTGTCTGGATGTTAGCTTACTATAACAATATTTACTAAATAAAAGGTTGAATCATATATTATGTCTGAAAACAGTTTTTCACCTGATTTTGTTTGTACATTATTTGCAATTTGATCCTGCATATTTTTGGAGAAATAGGTATAAATCTATGCCTTATTTTAAAAAAAAGTTCGTTTAAATGGTGAAGGAGGAATCCTGAAAATTATTGTGAATGGTTTTGAAGAAGAAAAAGAACTAAAAAATTAATTTTGTCATAGCTTTTGTCAAAAAATCTCTGAGAAAATAGGAAGACTTAATGAAAAAAATAATCTTTATGAGAAACATTATCTTTATGAGAAACATAATCTTGAAGATTTAAACTCATCAAAATTCTATTTATTCTTAATGTGCTAATATGTATCTTTCATCACATGCAGGTAAAAAAGCTTGCTTGTAGCATAGTGGTGAATGTACGCTTGATATAAGAAACTTTATAACTTATTATTATTTATATATTATTAGTGATCTTGATTGATAAAGAATGTTTTAAAATTTAATTAATTTTTTAATTTCTTAAAACTGATAAAAACACATTTATAGAAGATTCTCTGTCTGAGCTACTTCTTCTCATTGGAGCAGTTGATAAAACAGCAGGATTTCTTTTGACAGAATGAGATAGATTGAGTTATGGTTTGGTAAACTTTAAATTAAAGTGCAAATCAAATAATCTACTTTCTACTTTTTTTTTCTTCCAAAAAAACCTACAGAGGATTGTAGGCTTCTTTTGGAAGAAAGTTTGGTTCAGACTCAAATATCAAAAACAAATAGTATCTATGTATAAAGCTTAGATATTATAGAGTTTTTTTTTATGTCTAGACACTAACATGAAATTTTATGTCTAGACACTAATATGAAATTTTATGTCTAAACACTAACATGAAATTTTATGTCTAGACACTAATATGAATATATATATACTAATATGAAAGTCATGAAAAATCCCTATATATTCTATATTTTTTAATTTGTAAAGTATACAGGATATATTCTATATTTTTTAATTTGTAAAGTATACAGGATATATTCTATATTTTTTAATTTGTAAAGTATACAGGATTTGTCTGAGTAAGCATAGCTCTTTCAAAGTATGCAGAGCTCTGTGAAAAAGTGTTTCTTGTAAATTTTATATATGATTATGATATAAAATCAGTTTGGAAATAAAAAAATTTTAACACCTAATGTTATATAAAAGTAATGCTTTGTAAAAAATTTCAAATTCTTTATGTTTTTAAAATAAAAATGTTTTTACAAGAATTGGATCGTGCTCATTTGTGGTAAATGAGTTTACATCTTAAACTCAATTTTAATTTATAAATAGATTTCAAATTTTATCAAAAACACTAACGTGTTTAGAAGTTGTGGCTTTGTAAAATTAGCAACCCTCTTGTTTTTGGGGAATCAGAAGTTTTTTTTTGCTCGAAGCAAGTGAAACTAATTTATATTATAAGTAAATCATAAAGTATTTTAATACTTTGCTTTATTAAAAAATATGCATCATTTAAAATACGCTTTATTAAAAAATTCCTGGTGACCATCAGGCCTGATGGCCTGCAGTGTTACATTTGTAAGTGCATACAGTTATTTTAAAATGCATTGAGACAGGAAACTCCAATCATTATTTATAATTTATTTTATTAATTTATTATAATTTTTTTTATTAATTAATTTATTTAACAACATTTAAAAACATTTTATACACCATGTAATCTTTATAATAACTATATTATAAAAAATATAAATTAATTTTATAAAATCGCTCAAAAACATTTCGTAAGAATTAATAATATATAAAACTAAAAGTTTTACTACCCTTCAGCTTTACTAATGCAAAATATATTGTTATATGTTTTTTTTTTTATATATATTATTTTAATGAAAATTAAAACAATTTAAAATATTTATTTTCTAGTTCACCATCTATTGATCCAACTAAGCTCAAGTTTGTGTTTAATCTGATAGAACATCCTCCATTTCAAGAAACTGCAAGGTTGTTCAAAGTTTTTGTTTATTTATATAAAACTTATCTAATATATTAACAAATGTTGATAAAACCTTTATAAAAATGTTTTTACTAATACTTTATATATAATTTTTATTTTATTAAATAATTATTCAAGGTATGGTCTTTGCACAAGATGGCTTTCTAATATGGCATTTCAGTTTTCTAATAGTGTTCTAGAAAACTTAGAAAACCTTCATATTCATGAGAATCTGGTAAAATATTTAATATATATATATATATATATAACTGAAATTAGGAGTTGCCAGGGGCTTCAGTACATACATTGACTGAATAAAAAGGAAGAGCATTCAACCCAGCTAGCACACATACGTTGTTAAAACATTAGAACAATGTTGCGCGTTTCATTGGCCCAACATCGGCTGCAAATGTTATTTTTATATCATTATGGTCAAATGCGATTTCGCCCACAACTAAAAACCAATGTTGATAAAACCTTTATTTAAAGTCAGAAAATGGTTATATTTTCTGCCTTGATTCAACATTTTATATTATAGGTTGGCCCAACGTTGTATTACAATGTATTTACGTTGTATTTACATTGAACTTTAATCGGCAAAATGTTGTATTCAATTGTATTCGGAATTAAATTTTCATTAAACCCTATTTTCTTTATATATATATATATATATATATATATATATATATATATATATATATATATATATATATATATATATATATATATACTATATATATATATATATATATATATATATATATATATATATATATATATATATATATATATATATATATACATGTATATATATATATACACATATACACATACATATATATATATATATATATATATATATATATCTATATATATATATATATATATATATATATATATATATATATATATATATATATATATATATATATATATATATATACAGTATGGTGCAAAACTGAACCAGAATGCATAATATTTTTATTTTCTTATAAAGACTTTTAGCATTTTGAGAATTAATATTGCTGGTAGGAATTATTATTAAAAAAACAATTTTTATTAAGTATTTATTAAAGAAAAATATTTACTTACAAAATAATAAATAAAAAACATGGTGAATCACTTTTGCACCACGCGAAAAAAACAGTCAATTTTTGTCAATTTTTAATATTTTGTCCATAATCCTTTAGCTTTTTTAACTGCTGCTAATCTTCTATTTATACTCTTTACAAGATTTTCGCAAAGGTTTAACAAAATATTTTCCCAATATTATTGAACTTGTTCATATAACACATTAATGGATGATGGAGGGTCAGAATAGTTGTTAATGAGCGCTTTTTTTAATTGTGACCACAAATTTTCTATTGGGTTCAAGTCAGGACTTTGTGCTGTCCATTCTAGCACTTGAAAGTCCTGTGAAGCTAACCAATTCTTAACCATTTTAGCAGTGTGCTTTGGGTCATTGTCCTGTTGAAAAATGAGCATCTTTGCGCTCAAAATTTTTTTTAATCCAATGTCCTGATAAGGAAATAAATGTTTCATGAGACGTCGGACAAGTCCATATATATATATATATATATATATATATATATATATATATATATATATATATATATATATATATATATATATATATATATATATATATATATATATATATATATATATATATTATATATATATATATATATATATATATATATATATATATATAATACATTCGACGTAAACATTGTTTATATATAAATAAATTTAAGGTGTTCAATGCTTGATCATCAGAACAAAAATCATGTTTGTGTTGATTGGGGTTTGATATTTTAATAATCACGCAAGATTTTATTTAAGTTATATAATTTTGAAATAGCAATATTTGGTTGCATACATTGAATCAATGTTGGGTTTAGTTCGTAAAAACAATCAACTTTTTGCGATGTACACTGAGGCATATTCGTTTAGACACATCAATTTTTTTCTCTTTATCTTAATTTTTTTCTATGAATTGTCAACTGATATGCATGCAAGTTATTATCAAAATAATTATTGTGTTGTGGGCTAATAAAAACCACAAAAAAATTTTTTTTATGTGTCATTATTAACATGAGAGTATGTTTGATATACAAAAGCACATTTTTAAATTGGAATACATCTATAGACGCAATCAGGTTAATAATGGTAATTATTGATTTTTAATCACTTTTACACAAATAAATTGATAAATTTTAGTGTAATTTGATCTTTTGCTCTGCCATTATCATTTTTATTGTATTTTGGAATATGCCTAAAGGAATGTATTTGACAGATGCTGAAAAAATACAAATTAATTTATATCGTGGCTCAGAAATCTCACCAGCACTTTCTATACGAGAAATAGCAAGAAAAATTGGAAGATCTGACCATGTTGTACGAAACTACATTGCAAAAGGTGACAATTACGGTGTAAAAAAAGCAACAAACGGCAACAAAGTATTAACAAATCGGCAAATTAATTGAATTTGCTTCGAAGCAACCAGAAATAAATTTAATGCAACACAAATAAAGGATAAATTATTATTGCCTGTCACCAATAAGCATGTTGCACATATTCTACGTACAACACCAAACGTAAAGTGGAAGAAACCACACCATAAACCAATGCTAAAAAAACACCATAAAATTGCTAGTTTTTACAGTTTGCTAAAAACCATATGCATTGGACTCATGAGTGGCAAAACATAATATTTTCAGATGAAAAAAAGTTCAATTTAGATGGTCTGGACTCTTACAGTTGTTATTGGCATGATCTAAGAGGAATAAATGACCCACAAATAAAACGAAATTATGGTGGAGGAAGTTTAATGGTTTTGGCGTAGATTTTAACTCTGTGTTGTGGTTTACCTAAAATGAACTCGATAAAGTATACAGAAATGTTGGACGATGTTCTCATAACTTATATGGATGAAAACATGGACAATAATGCCATATTTCAGCAAGATAATGCTGCAATTCACACATCTAGGCATACTATGAAATGGTTTAAAGACCACAACATCCCGGTTCTCGAATGGCCAGCTTGTAGCTCAGACTTAAATCCAATCGAGAACGTGTGGGGAATGCTAGCAAGAAAAGTTTATGACGCTAAAGCAGCCGGACACCAATTTAAAACTGTTACTGAGTTAAAGTGTAAAATCCTTGAAGCATGGTCCGATTTGGATCAAACTACACTTCAACGACTAGTGGAGTCAATGAAAGGCAGAATTTTTGAGGTGATCCAGTGTAATGGAGGACATACACATTACTAATTTCTATTTTTTAATGTCAAAAATATGACTGCGTCTATAGATATGTTCCAATTAAAAAATGTACTTTTGTATATCAAACATACTCTCATGTTAATAAAGACACATAGAAATTTTTTTTTTTGTGATTTTTATTAGCCCAAAACACAACAATTATTTTGATAATATCTTGCATGCATATCAGTTGACAATTCATAGAAAAAAAAGATAAAGAGAAAAAAATTGATGCGTCTAAACGAATATGCCTCAGTGTATTTACATACATTTGAAAAATGTTGATTTATATACATTGAATCAATGTCAAGATATTTATCAACGTTGATTTATATACATCAACGTTGATTTATATATATTGAATCAACGTCGAAATATATACATTATATCAACGTTGGGTTTAGATCGTAAAAACAATCAACTTTATGCGATGATTTTACATACATTTGAAAAATGTTGATTTATATACATTGAATCAATGTCAAGATATGTACATTGGATCAATGTTGGGTTTAGATCTTAAAATTAAATCAAATTTGCCAGATGTTTTTAGTTCAGTCAGTAATAATTTTATTATTAACCAAATGACATTGGATCAACGTTGGTTTTGCATTGGAAAAGAGGCGACATTGGCGATGGTTTCACATGTTGTCCCAATGTAAGTGTGCTAGCTGGGAAGGGAGTAGTGCATCACTGACCAAGGGTTTGGGTTGGGGCAGAAATTATTTTTTCATTATTTGTTTTTTAAAAAAAAACCATTTGACAGTAAGTAAGCAATAAAGCTTACAAATGTATATCTGTATACAGTATAGTAGATATACAACATACATACATACACACATACATACATACATACATACATACATACATACATACATACATACATACATACATACATACATACATACATACATACATCATACATACATACATACATACATACATACATACATACATACATACATACATACATACATACATACATACATACATACATACATACATACATACATACATACATACACACACACACACATATATATATATATATATATATATATATATATATATATATATATATATATATATACATACATTTTATCAGTTTTATATACATACACATAAATATATATATATATATATACACAAATACATATATAAATAATAAAATAAATAAAATACAAAATAAACATAAAAATAAATTTGATACTAAATCTTTCAAATTGCAATTGTATGGGTTTATTGAATTGTAGCGTGATTTTACATGTGTATTATTTATTTTTTATGAAAACTAAATTATTATTATAGGTAAATATTTATTTTCGAAAACCAACTAACTTTCGACTTCCAGTTGATTCCACTAAACCTTTAATTATGATTGGTCCAGGAACAGGGATTGCTCCATTCATTGGATTCTTACAAAAAAGGTGTTGTTTAAAAATTTAATTTTTTTCGAATTAAGTCAGTATTGGTTTTTTTTACAATATAACCTAATATTTTATTTATGAATATTATTGTATACAAATATATAAATACTAGGTAGTATATTTATTCATTTTATCATAATAGTATGCATATGCGCTTATATTCATAGAAAATATTACAGTACACAATTTTTGAATATTTGAGAACATTTAAAATACTCATTGTTGTAGAGAATTTTTATTATCAATGTAAAATCCCAAATAATGGCTATTGTTAATAACCGATCTGAATCTTTGTTTTTAAAAGAAATAATGATTGTATATTTGCAATCATTATTCAAAATAATTTTAGTTACTATTTATTAAATTATTGAATCAATCGAATATGTTTTCCAGAAAAATAATTTTAAAATAATGTTGAGGTTAAAACTTTTAATTTCGATTTGAATGTTTTTAATTTGTCTGATACCATTAATATTATAGTCCCATAATATTTGTCATTTTATCTTACTTAAATTAAAGTAATTTTTTTTTAATACTTTTATTTAAATATTTAAAAATAAAAAACTATTCAATATTTCGAAAAATGTTCAAGTATTTAAAAATAAAAATTATAGATAACAGTGCATATCCAATGATTAAGGGAATCATTAGAAAACCCAGCTTAGATACAACAACAAAATTCTATGCAAGGAGGAGTGATGAAGGTAGAGAAAAGAAACCAAGTAAAATAAGTTTTGCACTCACTTTATGAGCGAGAAGTTCCAAGATCAATCACCACCACATCCCTTGTAGTACTGTGCTTAACTTGTTTCTCCACACAGCAGCCTTGTTTGTCAAGGTTTGTATTTTGGAGTTAAAGAGTTAAGGGTTGTAACCACAATAAAAAAGCCTTCTTGGTTGTAGTGTTTCTCCTTGGCCTTGTGCAGGTGAATAACATTTAAAAAATTAAAAAAAGTAAACAATGGGCATACTAAATATAACTTTAAAAAATGCTGATTTAGCAATTGATTTGAGATTTCACTTCTAAAAAATGTCAGTATTAAAACATCTTACAATATGTAACTTTATGTGAGAACACTTAAAGTTACATATTATAACACAATATGTGACTTGTTATTTACTCGCATAAAGTAATTAAAGTTTACTCATAAGAATACTAAAATTATTACAATAATGATTGGCCAAAACCAACTTTTGTTTGATTTTTATTTGAGCTACCCTAACCTATGCAAACTTTAGGCAGTTACAATATTGTGCTAATTATGTGTTAAATTTGGTAAATTGCTTCTGTATACTAACATAGAGTGTTAGATATTTTCAAAGTTGCTTTTTGTAAGACATTTAAAAATTTGGTTGCAGAGCTTATATTTATTATTTTTTTTTTGGTTGCAAAAATATATATATAAAAAACTTTGGTTTTGGTTGCAACTGATTTTTTTATTTTATTTCAGACACAGTTTGATGAATGAATCGTATGCACTTGGGGAAGCTTATTTGTTTTATGGTTGTCGTTATAAAGACAAAGACTTTTTATATAAGTATGTTTCATTTTTCATTTTATTATTCATTCTAACTTTTTTTATTTGTGGCAAAGATTTTTTTTTTAGCATTTATCATTTTTCTTACAACTTTCATTTATCAACAATTACTTTTTATGCAGGGAAGATATCATGAGGTATAAGTCTAGTGGAGTTATTACTGATTGTATAGTGTCTTTCTCAAGAGAAGAAAATGAGCCCAAATATGTTCAAGATAACATTCGATGTTATAGAGAAAAAGTGATGAGTTTGTTATTTGAAAGAGATGGTTTTGTTTTTATATGCGGGTAATTTTTATATTGTTTTAAGAAATACACTTTTCACAAGGTTTATATATTAAATATTTATTTATATATAATACTTGTGTAGTACAGTTTATATATAGTACAATGTTGCTTATTAGCTTTTTTCTCACAACTAGAGTTGTTTTGAATATTTTTTATATTTTGTTGGGTGTGAATGTTTAAACAAATAGGTTATATAAAAAATAGTATTTTTTATCATAAATAAAATCACAGGCCTGCACCTACCTACCTACCTATGTATCTACCATTCAATCTACATAATGTGTACAAATTATAGAATTAATTTTAGTTAGTTTCAACATGTTTTCATATTTGATTTCGAACAACATAAAATATTATTATAATACTTTTTATTAATCTCTTTTTATCAAAATATTCATCAAGTTTTTTTTTTTGTTTTTTTTTAAAATACAAATTATTAATAAAAAACATAATATAAAATGTATATCTTTAAGATGGTATGCTTATGAAAAAATAGAGATTCTCAACCAACTTTGAAAAAATATTTAATAATTTATTTTCATGTAAATTTTAACCACTTTCTGCTCATATAATTTTTTTAGTTTGCATCAAACTGAAAATGTTTAAATTTTTTTTTTTTACTAACTAATTTGTTTATCTTTTTTGATTGCTACGACGTTTGCAATGCTGTAGCAATCAAAAACTATAGACCTTACTTTACTTAATATTACACCTTTTCTAGATATAATTGAGAGCATGAAAGTTGTAATAAAGAAGTTACAATATCTAATTGAGAAACACAACATGTAATTAAGAAATCATAAAATGTTATTGAAAAATATTTAAATAAGAAATTGTAATATGTAATTAAGAATACATAAATTGAAAATAAGAAATTGTAATATATAAATGAGAATATATAATTTGTAATTGCGAGTTCACAATGTAAGCTTATAGGTCATTATGAAAAGCTTTCTGGAACATGAATTCGAATAAGTTAATAATATCAAATTAAGCATTTGTATGCACCAGCATTAATAATGGAATTGAAAGATTGTTGTGTTATTTATCAATACATTATGACCCAAAAATCTATTAAATTGAATCTGTGTCAGCATTTCACCAAATTAGTTTACATCTGCTTCAGGAACAACCGGAACCAATTTGTCTAATTTATTGGCATGAAATACATACAACTGAACAAGTTGAAAAAAAACATGTTTTATCTTCACCAAATGATAGAAGAAGAGTTGCTTGTATTGAGCGAAATGACGATTGGGTGACTCTGGCGCAAAATTTAAGGGTCTAATATAAGTGTTAAGCTTTCAATTGGGCTTGCAGTGGAAATTCAAATTTTATCGGAAGAGGTGGTTTTAAACCAAAAAAATTAACTGAGGATCAAAACAGAAATATTAGGACAATTTATCAAAACAAAAAAATTAATTACAATTTATTATTAACGTCAGCACGACAACCACCAATTACTTCGAAGGCAGATTTTTTTCATTAAAAAAAGTGCACAAGGTACTTTCTACAAAAAAAACAGTAATGAAAACAAACAAAAAAGAGCTAAATATGTTAGGAACATCAACAAATAAATCACAATTCGTCATTAGATAATTAGGTTGAATGAAACAAATTTTAACGTTTTTGGTAGAAAAATGCACATGCCAAATAGGAAAGAAGAGCAATAACGAAAATGCCTGCTTCATAAGGTACATTAGATTGCAGCTATATCAACAATACATTTTGTCATGATGGAAACTTGCAGAGGATCATTCAATGCATATTCTTGTAACTAGCAGAAGTTGATTATGTTTCACCAGTGGGTTACATCCAGGAATCTTTTAGAGGATTTGGTTATTTTAACAGACAATGCTCCATGTCACCCTCAGAAAGGTTGTTTAAAAATTCTCCAGCTCAGTTGTAACGTTTAGGACCCTACAGTCCAATGTTAAACACGGTGGAAACAATCTGGTCTAAAATTAAAAGTAACGTTAAAAATACGATTTGCATTCCACCTGTATTCAGTGCTGGGATTGTGGAACAACAAATGCAGTATTCGGAAAGATTTGGTACTGCGGCAAAAGTACATATATTTATTGAAAACCAACCCATTTGGCCACCTTGGCCAAATTAGGTACCAACTTTTAATTACAAGGTAAATTAAAAGACAATGTTAAAAATGCAAACAAATTTGTTCTAAGAATCTATATTATAAACTTTTCTTATTTACAGCATTCATGTTCTCAATTACATCTTACGATTTCTTATTTACAACTTTCATGTTCTCAATTACATCTTACTATTTCTTATTTACAGCCAAGTTGACAAATTCTATGAAGCTTCTTTTTCATATATAATATAGATTTTCAGTGTTTCCGTGCCATGCTTTCAAGTCACATTTGCTTATAACGGGTCACAACTAAAATTTTGCCCAACTTTTAAAACAAGATATCTCAGTCATTTTACAATTTTTTTTAAAACGGTTTTTTGCATTTTATAAACAACAATTTTAAGTTTTAGAAAAAATGTCTTTTAAAGTTTTTTGATTCCATTCCTTCTGACAAAATCGAGTCTGTGTACCGAGCTGAAGGTGCGGTGTATAAGGTCTTTGTCCAAATTACGAAGGCAAAGACTGACTCTAGCTTTGAGTTGAGTTATAGTTTTAGCCTGCCAGTCCTTCTCATACACTTTCTGCTTCAAAAATCCCCAAAAATCCTCAATTGGCCTGACTTTCGGGACGTTTGCTGGGTTGTCTTGTTTTTGTACAAAATTGACTTTTTTGTCTCTGAGGTCGGCGTGGACTGAGTTTGCATAGTGGGAGCTAGCTAAATTGGGCCAGAATACGTATTTACCATCCTTATAGTATTTGTTAATAAAAGGAATCAACCTCTTTCGTATACACTCGTCACGGTAAATATATTGATTGATTGCCAGGCCAGACTTGAAAAATTTGACACTACTCATTCCTCGAGGTGAAACTGCCACCCAAACAAGTAGTTTTGACTCGTATTTTGCCTTCATTTTGTTCTTCACATCAGTAGGAGTCTTTTCAAAGCCAAAGTTGTGTTGGAAAGAGTGAAGTACGATTCATCATCCAAAATAAAATCGACATCACGAAATTTGAGGAAAAGTCGTCCACACTTTGGCCTTGCTAACTTGACTTGTAAGGCTGTCATCTTTGGTTTGACGGTGCGTTTTAGACATCTGATATTTGTTCTTTGCAATAGCATCTTTGAAACGTATTGCTGAGTCGTTTTTAGCTTGCTAGCTACTCTTTTCTGTGAGCAGCCCTTCCGATGATTGAAGAAATTTTTCATCTTACGTATGTTGTTTGCAGTCGCTATAGTGGTCGGAGGACCGCTTCCTTTTTTTCTAGTTAGTACTTTATTTTGTTCCAGCATGCTAAGCCAATGATTTAAAGTCCTTTTTGGAGCTCCCATGCTCATAAATTTATCAAAAATATGTTTTCGCCCCAGTCCATGGTTTTTTTGATAGTATTTATACAAAATGGATTTTAGATCTTCATACATTATAGCGTGATATTTTTTAAACTACAAATCATACGAACTATTTAAAAATATATTTGAATAGAGAATGCTTTTGAGTATATTCTGTTAAAATTTTAAAAATATACACAAAGCAGATCTTTATTGACGTTATCCCAAAGTTTGGGCAAAATTTTAGTTGTGACCCGTTATAAATTGATATTTTGTTTTTGAATTTTTGACTTGATTTTTCTCATTTTAAGATTTTAATTTTTTGTTTTTAATTTTAAAACATATCTTTTATTGTCCTACAATATGGTTTTACTTGTTATAGTTTTTTCAAAAAATCTGTATATAAGTTTAAAATTTAATATATAAACTGAACCAGTGAGACAAATTCAAAAATATATCACAAGTGAATTTTGTACCTATATAAAACTATCAGTTCAATTTTTGAGTGTTTATAAAATATTACTTTTGCAAAATTGTATTTTGAAGTTTTTGTTTTATTTCCGCATTTGGTCATTAAATTTTGAGGCTAACGGTGCACTTTTTTTTTTTTTCCATCTAAAATTTTCTTTTTATTGTAAATAACTTTGTTGCTTAAAAAAAGTTTTCGATAGGCCTACACCTTAAAACCGTATGAACACCAATTTTTGGAGTGTTTTATTGTGTTAAACATTCTGTAAATTAACTCATAACTATTAAGTTAAGATATTACAATCTAAAAAAGCGAGTAATGTAATCTCAGTGTAATCTTGATGTGTGTATTCTGTAAAATATTTTTATAGAGCTGTAAATATATTTTTATGATATATTCCACAGCATCGTACTAATTACCGCAGCTATAAAATATATATTGCAAATACTTTTTGATTACTGACAAATTATTAGGATTTTTTTAACTTTTTGACTTCAAGGTATTATTGAAGCGCTTGTTTGGAAAATGCTACTTTTAAAGGTGTAAATTTCGCAAAATACTGTGTTTAAAGGTCCCAAAAGTTGAATTTTTGTATTTGTATCATTTGCCAGAAGGCAAATACATTAAAACAGTATAATTGTTTAATATATTTGTTATATATCTAACTCGAAAAAAATTCGTTCCCAGAAATTTTTTGTCTCTGAAATTTTTTTGCCGTCAAATATTTATAGTTTGGTCTGAAGTCAAACACTTTAAGGAATGCGTTACGGCTTCTTGTAATCAATAAACAATATTGATTTCTATAGTAATTAACAGTGTTGTTGTTTAAATTTAATAACAATAATTTGATAAGTTTTATTGTTTAACTTTATTATATTTATAATTTTGCTATATTTTACAATCATTCTCGTTGATTTTTTTTTACAATTTTAGTGATGCAAAAGGTATGGGTCGTGATGTTACTAACACTTTTGTTGATCTCATTGAAGAATATAAAAAAGTGTCTAAACCGGATGCTTTAAAACTGCTGTCTACATTAAGAGAAAATAAGAGATTCGTTGAAGAAACATGGACTTAAAATGCTTAGAACTACTGTCTACGTTAAAAAAAATTAAAACGTTTGCAGAAAAGAACGTCATGAGATTAACTTGCTTAAATATGCGATATACTTTCGTTTTCAAAATGCAAAGAGTTTTTTATCATAGAGTATTTGATAAAAAAAAGTAAAAAACGGTAGCAATGAATACAAGATAAAACAGAATGATATTTTTAGCTACCTAACGTTTTTTTAACATGTTATTTATTCTTTTTCTTAAATATAAATATATCATTAAAATACTATCTATAAATCTATAAATAATCTCTATAAATTGCAAGGTGGTTCTAGAATTAAATCACAAATAAAGATGAAAAAATTATTGCAGCTTAAAAAAAATATACATTTTTTTATTATTAAAATTAAATTTAAAAATCTTTTTGCAATAAGAATTTAAAATTCAACAACCGTAATATGGGTGAGACTTTTTTAATTTGATACTTATTGCTGCTTCATAGACACTTAAAGGCACTTCAAAGTCACTTCGAATGAAAGATTAAGGAAGGTACCGCAAAATAAAACAAAGATTTTTTTTTTGACAGTGAGATTTATTTAAAGCAAGATGTCAAAATATATTACTAAACCTAAAAAAAAATATTTAAAATTTATATATATATATATATATATATATATAGATAAAGATATATATATACAAAACAAATAGAGAGGATGTTCTGTGTCATGGTTAAACAGGGCCGCCGAGAGGGGAGGGCGGATAGGGGCACCAAATAAAAAGAAGATACCAAAAAAAACATGTCCTTATCTATAATATAGAGAAATTTTGGTAAGGGCGCCAATCATGGTTGCTGTCCCAGGCGGCGTGACGGTTCTCGGCGGTCCTGTGTTTAAATATTAAATTTTTCCTCCCTAAAATCATGTTTGCTACAAAGTCTTATGCTCTAAAATTTATCTGTGTATACTTTAGATTTGGATTCGGTCCCGTATTGTTAATCGTACATGTTTTATTGTTATAAGAATATCGCTTAAATACTTACCTAGACTCAAATTTTGTTTTAAAATGAAAACATTGCCTTTTTTCAATCATGAGCCCGGTTGTGAAATCCATATGTTATGTGTCGCACTTTGACCCTCAGGAACATTCTCGTACCATGAACAACAAAGGGGAATGGGCTGTGATAAACATTAGGTCTTGGTGCTCTTTCGTAGTGTCACCATTTCGCGACGTTAGAATTATCTTGTTCTATCTCCACATTTTTTAGTTTTGAGATAAAACGATTTAAAAAACAAAAACTTTAGAAGGCGGCGTATAAATTTTTTTTTATAACTTATGTTTTTTCCGCAACTTTTTTACTTATAACTTAGGTTTCAATTCAGTAGAAAGACATTATTTTGAGGAACACAACACTATCATTAACTCAATTTTTTCAGAGAGTGGAGATAGAACAAGATAATTCTAACGTCGCGATTTGCTGTCATAATTTGGATCTTGCAAACCTGTTGTTCTGATTTTCTCTGCAAGTCGCATGCTATTTTAGTAATAACGGTTCCATTTCTCTCTTTGTTCCTTTTCTCTCATTCTCAACTTTTTTGTTATTGTATAAAGCGCATTATAATATGATGTTTTATTTCCATTCGGATCCAATTTAATAAAAATGAAATTAAAAATGAAGAATTAACATTTAAAGAATTTGAAACAGCTTTTAGAAGCTTAAAACGAAACAAATCTCCTGGAATTAATGATGTAAATGGAAAAATCATTATTGACTATTATGAGTTAAAATTTTTTTAAATTTGTAAGTGTTTATTGAAAGAGGATGTTTTTCCTGAAATACTTTTGACAGCAAAAGTATTTCAGGAAAAACATCTTTAAATCAACTGATAAAACCTATATTGGCAATTACAGACCAATATCAATACTTTCCACTTTTCTAAGATTTTTAAATGAATAATTTTTAATAGATTATATACCTTTTTTCAAAGATCATGTTTTTTTTTTATTCAAAACAGTTTGGATTTTAGAAAAACATTTCAACGGAACATGCGATACTATACTTAATGAATACAAAATGAAGCATAAAAATAAAATATTCCAGCGGAATACAAGAATATCTCGACAGAATGCACAACTTCAATACTCTATAACTTGAAGTAAAAATTTTATATTTATATTTTTTTTTAGCTACTACGTACACTATTAGTTAAAAATAGGTTATTTTTAACTAATAGTGTAAACCATTTTTTCAGGGTCTGCAGAGGATTACAAACAAAATTATTAAAGCAAACAACTTGTTTTTATTGCTATTTTATTATTAAACTAATTAGTTTCTTAATATATGATGGGACACTTCAACCAAAATTTTTCTGATTCATAAAACTTTGCAGTTATTAAAAGTTACCATGCGTAGTACTATTAAAAGTTAAGACTAAAATTTTTGACATAAAATCTATATTCCTCAATTGCTAAACATAGCCTACTTAAACATCAAACATATCCCACTAAAATAACCTTAAGACATCTTTATTATTTGTTTATTCAAAGTTATAAAAATAGCAGACATACGCATGGAGATAATAACCTTGCATATGAATTTTATATCATATGCAAGGTTATTATCTCCAAACGTATAAACTAAGTTTAACTAACTCCCTGTAATATACCATGCGTAGTACTATTTCTTGGGACAAGGTTGGAACAAAAACCAATCAATAGTTGTATGAAATCGTTAACCAATCAGAACCTAGTAACTCTGACACATTTCCAATGTTGTAAAGTATGATTAGCATTACTAATTGATGAATATGTCTTTATTGTTATAAGGTGTTTTAATACAATACCGACACTACTATTTATATGTAGATGAATCTGTGGTATCAGTTGTTTCTATTTTAAAATGAACCTGTGGTACCATATCTAATGATAAGTAAATTTATTATTTAGAATTTAATAGAAACTGTTGATTAAGAGGGTGCTATTGTACGGTAAACAAAAAGCAGGTTCATATTTAAAAATGGGTAAATTCTACCTTTTCAGAGAGTAATTTAGTATATTGTTATTTAATAATCAGTAACGGTTGAGACCTATTATGCAATCGAGTATAGTCGATTATTAGACTCGATTCAACAATCGTTGCCGGCTGTGTAGCTCAACAACTTTTTTTACCTTAAACTTTGAAAAGTTAATCATAAGAGCACGTTTTTGTTGATTTACTGAAAATTTTAAAACTATAAACAGTTGACACCAACAACAGAAAGTTTGCAGTCTGCTTTAGACGAGCAAAAACGAATTATTATTTAAATCACGACCTATTCTGTATAGGTTTTATTTACTTTCTTTTTCATTAAATCAATTTTATTTCACCAAAATGGTGTTAAAACTCACATACAGCAATTTTGAATTTCAAAATATTTTCTGAAGTCATACTAAAGGTTCTCTGTATAAAAGGAAGACAAAAAGGCAACCAGGGTAAGTACGGAATTAGTCGAAAAAACTAGCTAAATAAATTAGTGGATGCTGGTTTTAGATATGCATCTTTAGTTATTTTGTTTTTGCATACTTTTTATTATTTTTTTTTCTAAAACCTTTTGTAAACCAACTAAAGTTGATTCTATGGTTTTTTAGAATTTTTAGTGTTTTTGATCTAACACCTCAAAATGGGGAGCCCTGGCTCAACAAACATAATGTAAATTGTTTAATGCAAATATTATTTTTTTATATTTTATAAAAAAATATTTGCATTAATAATTTTATTTATATTTTACATATTATATCATTTTTAGCTATGTATTTATAGTTTAATAGTATCATCTTTAGCTGCCAATCTTGTAAATGCGCCAGGCTTTTATTTATTTATCCCCTGTCAATATATTTTTTTAATTGTTGATTTTGTTTACGGCTCTTTTGCCTGTTTTATCGTGCATGAGAATTCTCCTGAGAATAAAAAAACTTGAAGGAATATTTTCAGCTTTTAAAATAGTTTAGACTAAAAAAATTAAATGAATTGTAAATGATTTTGATAGACTAAACTTTTTTGGTAATTAGGGTAAAGAAACTAAGTTAGTGCTTGTTGCTTATTTTTTAGTGTTTAGATTTATTATTTGATGTTTTATATTGTGCCTTTTTCATATATTTTATTAAAATATAAATCAAAAGCTCCGAACGCTGCTGTGTTAGTAATTGAAAAAATGACTAGAAATCCTGATAGGTTAACCAAAATGACGGTTGAGATAAAGAGATAAAACTTCATTAACTGTTGAAATTGAGAGTTAAAACCGTCTCCACCTCTGTTTTGAACGTTTTTTTTCCTTTAATTCGCCTAAGTACTTTATGAATGACTCCAAAGGCCTTGTTTTTGGCACCGGACCCAAAGAAATTTTAAAGACATATTTGCGCAAAAATTTAAGTCTATGAAAAACAAGACTTATGCGAAATAAGTAACATTGAAAACAGTAGCCTAAAAACTGTTTTTTGTGGACTTGAAATAAAAAGGTGCCTAAACACGTCCCCTTACTTATGGTCAGTGCTATAATGTAAGGTGAGTTATGTGTGTACATGGGGACGTTAAACATACACCATATTTAAGTTGAAAAAAATAGTTTTTTATGCCAAATTTTTTAGCCAGAAAAATAATTTTTCTATTAAATAACAATTTTTTTTTTTAAAAGAAACAAATTGTTATTTAATAAAATAAAAACATTTAGTTATAAACCAGTACTTGTTAATTGTGATAAATTAGAAAAACAAACATTAACTAGTTATATTCCTAGCTAGAAATAATTTTTTGAAATAGTGATTAAGTACTTTATATTGAATCCCTCTCCCATTCGCTTTTGTACGCTATTTATAGAGCCCCTTTCCTTCCCACTATCAGCGTACCTCCTTTATAGAAAACTCCAAACACCGCGAATGGGTGTTAAATTAGAAAGTTTATCCTTTTTTCCATTCCGATTTCGCAAGTTCAGCCAAGACAATTTTGTACATCGGACCTCTTAATTATCAAGAAATAGTTAAATCATAATAATTGAAAAAATAGTAATTAAGAATGATAAAAAATGAGCAAAAAACTGTAATTAAAATAAAAAAATTTAATAAAAAGCGTAGTTTAAAACATAAAGTTAGTTTTCCCTGATTAACCAAGATATATTTTAAAACGAGAAAAAAATCTATAAGATGCTTTAAAAAATAAAAATCTTTAATTAACACTTTTATAAATACATCTTTTAATTTTAAATATGACTTATTATTTACAATTTATTAAAGATTAATATTACTAATAAAATATGAGTTCAATTAATATAAAATACTCTCTTAACGTATTTTAAATTAATTTTCTCAGAACAACTTTTTCGTTGTTTTGAGAATTTAATATTTATTTAAGAGCTCAAACGATGGTAACTATAATTTTAATAACGTGACGTTGCACCAAAAAATAAAAGCTTTTCTTCTTTCATAAGTAAATTTATTTTGAATAGAAAAATTAGGCGGAAATGAAAAATGATTCTAGATGCGATGAGCCTGGAAATTTAAAGAATCCGCACATATCTCTCGTTGTTCTTTCAAGCTCATATCTACAAACATTGGTGCTTGCCAAACTTTCAAAGATTTTTTTTTGCGATAACCATAATAGAAAGATCCAGTACAGCAAAATATCAAACAAAATGCAAAAATTAACCTAATAATATATATATATATATATATATATATATATATATATATATATATATATATATATATATATATATATATATATATATATATATATATATATATATATATATATATATATATATATATATATATATATATATATATATAATAATATTAATAATAATAAAAATAATAATTTTCAAAGCATACCAGAAGTACCAGAGGTTATACAATTGACAACAGCCACTTACGCAACAATATTGTGCAGCAATACAACTATAGTTGTAAATAAAAATAGTGAATTACTTTTCAAGTTAATTTTTTCAAAATTTATTTGATAAAAAAGCATTTTACACATACGTATACGTTAACAAAGTTGTTTGCTCTCCATTTGATTTATTCAGACTTACAAATTGATTACAAGTAATATCGGCATTGACGACCTTAAAAAAATTATAATCAAATTAAAAAATGTAATTGCTTTATTTTAATTCCTATAGTCCATTATTTGGACACAAAAAAAAAACTGTTTATTGGGGATGCAACGATATATTTTTGATCCTTGAACTTAGAAACTTTTATTTTTGTACCAAAAAGAAACAGTACCAAAAAGAAACAAATTAAAATGTGCTTTTTAAAATTCTACAATCGTGAAAGTTTTTTTTTTGCATTTTTTTAATTGAGTAAAATCATTTTTATCATCGCTGTAGGATTATAATTCTAGCAGGGTTATAAAAAAAAATGTTTTTTTTCATTTCTTTTTGACACTAAAACACAAAACAGTTTATAAATCATTTCAACACTAAAGCAGTAAATTAAAATATATAAAGTAGGTTTTTTTTAAAAAAAAATTTATCTGTATTAGTAAAGAATTTGTATTATTATTGATATTCTTAGATTTTAACTGAACAATCAGTACAAACAAACAGTACAAACAATCAGTACAAACAAACAGTACAAACAAACAGTACAAACAAACAGTACAAACAAACAGTACAAACAAACAGTACAAACAAACAGTACAAACAAACAGTACAAACAAACAGTACAAACAAACAGTACAAACAAACAGTACAAACAATCAGTACAAACAAACAGTACAAACAAACAGTACAAACAAACAGTACAAACAAACAGTACAAACAAACAGTACAAACAAACAGTACAAACAATCAGTACAAACAATCAGTACAAACAAACAGTACAAACAAACAGTACAACACTCCTTCGCAGATAAATACAATAGATGTGCCGTAGTACCCGATCAAATTTTGAAAATTTAAAGTATTATGAACAGTGAATTCGGTTTGCGGTTTCGGCTGATAAAATCGCAAAAAATATTGAGAGAAATATGAAATGAATGAAAACACTACTGTAACCCCAATCATTGGACCCAGTTTCATTAACTTTAAATTTACAGGATGTTAGATAAACATCCTGCAAGTTTAAACCCAAAATATTAAGCTCTCCAATCAAAATTTCAGTCATTTGTTTTCCTGTGACTTATCAACTGGTAGAAAGCCCAAATTTAATTTTTATTTCAGCCTGACTGAAATCACGTTTATTGATTAAAACATATCTAATTTCAAAAAATATTTGGTGTAGATTACAAACTTCAGCAATGCAATCTAAAATTATGGAATAGTATTTGGCTTTTTTAGTGTGAATAATATTATGAGATTTTACATTTAGACGCACCAACTCTAACATTTCGTTTTGTATATTTTTCTTGAGATTGTGAACCTTTGTTAGCACTCTATGCGCGTGCTCTTCCATAAACGGATTGAATTCAGATGTATATATATATATATATATATATATATATATATATATATATATATATATATATATATATATATATATATATATATATATATATATCAGATATATAAGTTGCTATAGCAGCTAAACTATTTTTAAACAGTAACCATTGTTATGCTCAACTTGTCAGCACTAAATAGCAATTGTCGTTTGTAAAAGCTAGAAAACTTTACCAAACGTTTTAGTGTTATATATAAATATAATAATAAATAAAAAACTTAAACAACTTAATGACTATTGCTAAAAAAAATAAAAAGTATACATTTTCACTATTTAAATATAAATATTTTATCTCAGAAACATTTTAGGTCTGACGTATGAGGATTACAGAACATATTGGTCAAAGCGCTCCATCCTTTATTCCAACTAATTACATTCTATTTATTACTATTAATCACATTTTAGAGTCGTCAATAAACCATCATTTAGATGGGATTAAAATCCGCAATACTTAGGTGGTGCATTGCCGACTTAGTGGTAATTATAACGATAAATGTGTAACTCGTCAATCTATCTAAAAAACACGTAATTTTTATTAACTTTACTTCTAATTTTTATTAATTTTACTCTTAATTTTTATTAAATTTACTCTTCTATCTTTTTTAAAAATTAAGCTAGAATCTTGAGGTTTTTTGCATCAAACAGTTTTATGATGGCTTCTGATATGATGGTCTTCTTTTATGATGGCTTCTGATATGATGGTCTTCTTTTATGATGGCTTCTGATATGATGGTCTTCTTTTATGATGGCTTCTGATATGATGGTCTTCTTTTATGATGGCTTCTGATATGATGGTCTTCTTTTATGATGGCTTCTTTTATATATTATTCATGTCTAAAGACCACTATTGGTAAAAAAAAGTTTGCTGTGAGAATGTTTTTTCAAAAAGAAGTTTTTGAAGGTAAGGATTCCTAAGTACCAAAACACATCAAACTTGTTTGAAAATTTCCATATTAGTTAAAAAAAGGGATGAGGAATCTAATGGAATAGGGTACCTTTTTGACTTTTAAACATAATTTCTTATTAGCATTCAAAAACATTAAGTAGATCTTGTTTTAAAAATACACTTTTTATAAAAAGGTTACCTGTGAAAAAAGCAAGCATAGCCTTTCCTCTATTCAAATCAAGTACTTATTTATTTACTTATTTATTTATTTATTCGCGTGTTGTTTGTTTTAATTTTTGCGCCTGATTTTTCATGTTTTCTTATTTCATTTTTGCGTACTATCAAAAAATTATCTGTTTTCCTAGCACAAAAAATACAATAATCTCGGATCCACTTCTCAAATCTCGGACCCACTTCTAATGTTGAAAGACCACTCATTTTTAAAGTCTATTTTAGTTCTATACAACCATGTTTATCATATATAAAAATATTGACAAAAAAAAATCTTCTGGAAAAGTTGAAGTTAAAGTGCTACGCGGATTAAATAGTGATCTGAAATATCATTGTATGTTACTTGAATATTAGAGGGAAATGCCATCATGACGGTTTATTTTTGTATCAAGCAAGTTGCAAATACCGGTAGTTAATGCAAATTGAACTCGTTATATTATGTTGTAGGTCTCTAAAATATTAACATGAAGGGCGCACAGAGACTTCATGATGCCCAGTATATATTATAAAAACAATTTACTTGATGCCTTCCCCCTAACCACCATCAAAATAAAAATAATCAGAAAAATAAAGCTATAATTTCTAGTATTCACAAAGTGTTTTAAAAATTTTGTTTTTAAGACGGTTCACGAATCAAACAATAGAATACAGCAAAGAAAAATAACTCTAATTATTTCTTATCGCGGTCCTTATTTATGGAATAAAATGGTTTTGCCAAATTTTGATTTGTCATTGAAATGGACTTTAACTTCTTTTAAACGAAAAATAAAAGAAGTTATTTTTTCAGCAGAAAATATTTTTTCTTGTTTTTAGTTCTTTTGTTTCATATATTTCATACAATTTATCCAGTATATTTATATTTTAAATGCACAATTATATATAGTTTATGTTGATTTATTTTTATTGGTTAATTTGATTTTGTTGTTATTGTTATTATATTTGATATTGTAAAAGACTTCATGATAAGATCGTATGATCTTCTGGAAGTCCTGCCGACTATATTTGTAATTTGTAAGCTATTCTTTAATTGTAATTTTTTTATTGAAGGCAAATGAATTTACAAAAAAAAATGAATAAAGTTTTTCTGACTTTATACCAAGACTTTATGAGCTTTTCTAACAGCAAAGTTGGAAGTTACAACATTGTAATTAACTTTCTTCTTAAGATCTATTTTGATTGAAAGAATTTAGTGAGCAAAAAAAAGGACTGTTGTTAAAATAATCCTGTCCCATAGTAGCTCTTAGAGAATTCTTGACAAGAGCTAACACGCTAAAAGATTTCTAATCTTCAGCCACAGAAACTGGCAAAGTAAGGAAGATACAAAGACAAATGCATAATTGGGGTAAATTTTCTTCAAACCCTTTGCTTAAATACTATTTAGAAAGGTTGTCAGCAGATGGCGTCGAACAGACGAAAAGTGGGGGAACTCATCAATAAACTCGTCTTCACTAAGGCCATTTGGTTACAGAAGTACGAAATCTTTAACTTTATATTCTTGACTGTTTGTTAAGTCCGAATTAATGTCAGGCGTAGACCAAATGATGGAAAATAATCTACATTGCTGTTTCATTGCTTGAAATTTTTTTGTAATCTGATGGATGAAGGTAACAAATTAAACAATTTTCATTTCTTTAGTGGATGTTATACAACTTTAGATTTGGTAGACTGAATTTTTTTTGTCATCTGATGATACCCCGTAAACGTGACGCCCGGAAGAAACCGACCCGAATCTCCACCCTCTGTGCGTGCCTGGTAGCATTTCTTGGATTGATGGTTGTTGGTATGGTACCTGGATAGTTTAAGTACAGAAAATGTTTGAAGTTCATCCAGAAGATTAGAGATTTCCAAAAAGAAAATGATAGTTGCAATGATGGGACATGATCAATAAATGGCAATTGAATTGTAAGTAGTATTAGCAAGTAGTAAATTCAGTTTAGCAGATGTACGTTCATAAGGCAGGTAGGTAGATGAAAACGATAGGGGTTTAATATTTAAGTTGTCTCGGTATGTAATTGAATCGCTTTCCCTAAAATGGTCTGATAGGCAGTGTTGTTTTGAAACCTGGTGGCGACATATCTTCTTAAACTGCAGCAAGACTGTCTGATTTTATTCAAAATTTACTCAATGTATAAAAATAGCTTAATATTGAATTTGTACTATATCATAAATAATGGCAGATTTTTTTTATAGCTCAAACATTTTTAATACCCAAGTTTAATGCAGATAGTGCAGAAGATCCTGGAGAGGTTCTTTTAATTTTTTATGTACCCGGTGGGAAGCAAGCTAGCGATTAGCTAGCGACTAGCTAGCTTTATAGCGATTTTTGAGCGATTTTTTTTTTTCTTATTTAATTTTTTCCTTAAGTCTTTAACATCATTAAAAATTCGATTTTTAGTGTTGGATCTATTATAATTATGAAAATAATTGAACTTTAAACATTGCGATATCGTAACGATATATCGCTAGCTATATATCGCAGTTTTTTAGTCAGCGATTTTATTACGATATGACACTAGCTACATATCGCATTTGTTTAGCTGGCAACTAGATAGCGATATATCTATAGCTATTCGATAACTACATATCGCAGCTTCTAAGCTATCGATTTAATTACGATTAATCGCTAGTTACGTATCGTAGCTTTGTAGCTAGTTACAAGATAGCCACAAATCGATAGCTAGTTGATAGCTAAATATCGCATTTTTTTAGACAGCGATTTTCTTACGATTTATTGCTAGTTACATATCCCAGCTTTGTAGCTAGCTACAAGTTAGCCAAAAATCGATAGCTAGTTGATAGCTACATAACGCAGTTTTATAGACAGCGATTTTATTACGATATGACCCTAGCTACATATCGCATTTGTTTAGCTGGCAACTAGACAGCGATGTATCTATAGCTATTCGATAGCTACATATCACAGCTTCTTAGCTATCGATTTAATTACGATTTATCGGAAGTTACGTATCGTAGCTTTGTAGCTAGTTACAAGATAGCCACAAATGGATAGCTAATTGATAGCTACATATCGCAGTTTTTAGATAGCGATTTTATTACGATTTATCACTAGTTACATATTGTAGCTTTGTAGCTAGCTACAAGTTAGCCACAAATCGATAGCTACTTGCTAGCTATATAATGCAGTTTTATTGACAACGATTTTATTACGATTTATCGCTAGTTACATATTGTAACTTTGTAGCTAGCTACAAGGTAGCCACAAATCGATAGCTACTTGCTAGCTATATAAGGCAGTTTTATTAACAACGATTTTGTTTCGATTTATCGCTAGTTTCATATTTGTAAGCCTTTTTAGCTAGCTACAAGGTCGCCATCAATAATGCTAATAATAATTGAACTTTAAAAGTAAGGATTTTATTACGATATGTCGACAGCTACATATCGCAGCTTTTTAGCTATCAATTTGAATGCGAAATATCGATAGCTGCATATAGTTGTGATTTAGCTAGCTAGAAGAAAACGAAAAGTCTTTAGCTACATATTGCGGCTTTTAAGCTATCTATATTTTAGCACGAAATGTCGGTAGTTTTTTAAACAGTTGTAGTTTATGCGCACTGTTCCAAACGTGTGGAAATAAAATGTTGGTAAGATGTTAGAGGAGCGTGGTAAGTTTTAACTATAAATAATAATATTTTATTTAGTTAAGTTTAACTATGAATAATAATGATGTATTTAGTAAATTAAAAACATTGATGGTGTTTTCAATTTACTAAATACATCATTATTATTCATAGTTAAACTTAACTAAATAAAATATTATATATATATATATATATATATATATATATATATATATATATATATATATATATATATATATATATATATATATATATATATAATTTTAATGCAAGACCGGAATTTTTTTTATTTTTTTTAATTTTATTATTTGATAGACTTCCTGCCCAAACCAAACCCTCAGTCGATGTAGCAGCACTCCTTTTCGAGTCAGGCTATTTGTCAGTCAGGCTATAAGGTAGTCAATGTAGCAACACTCGCGCATGATTTACAGTAAAAAAAATATAAAATAAAAACATTTTATTTAAAAAATAAAAATAAAAACATTGTTTATATTTTTAAAAACATTCTTAATGTTTTTATAAACATTCTGGTCAATTAAATTTGCGTTTTTGCGGTTTTTTAAAAAAAATAATTAAGTTAATGGTTTTAACTTTATGACAACATGGAAATGTTAGATGAATGTTAAAAGTAATTAAAAGTGACGTAATTTGTTGTCAAAAGAATCATTTTTTACCTACCGTACTCTCAAAGCCAACAATTTATAGAACTATATATATATATATTATATATATATATATATATATATATATATATATATATATATATATATATATATATATATATATATATATATATATATATATATATATATATATATATATAGCTATATCTCTAAAAAAAATTTAAAAAACTATATAAACTTTAATTTTTATAATACAGTTAGGCTATTTCTATATTATAATAAAGTTTATTTTTCATTTAAAAAATCTAAATACTATTGTTTTCTCGATTAAAAACGCATTAACGCGTGTCATGAAATTGCTGTCTAGAAGTTTTAACTAACATACTTTAGTATACCATAAATAATGATTTTTGGCAATATTTTACTAACGACTTAATTTGTCATATTGAAATTTACTATACATAACCAACAATTTTATCGATATTGTTTTTTTCGCACTATCACTCTACTATTCATATTGTTTTAAAAATATCAATATCAATATCAAAAATGGCATGTAAAAGATCTTCAGATGAACCTTCGGAATGCAACAGCTTTCTTCAAAGCTCTAAACGGATGGGCCAAGTTGCAACGGTAATTACATTTCCTTTGTTTGATCTATATATAGGACTCTAATAATTTAACTTGCATTTTCCTCTTTTATTTTAGTTTTTATTATGTTACAGTAAACCGGGGTTACTTTGAACGTTTTTGAGATATTTTTACTTGCTTTTTCCTCACTATTGACAATATTTAAAATTTAACAAAATGAATATAAGGGCTAAGGTTAACTCACACATAATTCAAATTCAAAATGTTATTTAAATAATATTAATTTAAACAGTTTAATATTAATTTAAACAGTCATTTAAAGTTCTTTTAAAATTATTAACTTGTTATACGATATTTATGTTTTATAAAATGAGTTTTTTAAAATCATTTTATTATTTTTAAAAACCCTTTTTTGCGTTACCATTAAATAAAATGTTTAAAAAAAGTTGTCACAGACTTATTATGTCAAATGTTGGTTGTTTCCTAATTATTGAAATTCCATTTACTATAAAATTTTTTGGTATTATATTCTTAGTTTTAAATAATAACGGTCTTGTTTAAACGCATCAACGTTTTTGCTTTTGTATAAAACCAAAAACGTTGATGCGATTCTTAAAAACGTTAAATTGCTGAAAACTTCAAAAATGATACAATAAAAAGCTTTAACTTTGTCGTTTAAAAGTTAAATATGTTGAAGTGCCTAATACAGTAGCGTTTAAGCTAGCTAGAAGATTACAAAAAGTCTATAGCTATTTGATTGCTACATATCGCAGCTTTTTTTTAGCTCTCTATATTTTAGCACGGAATGTCGATAGTTTTTTATACAGTTGTAGTTTCGGCCCACCTTTGAATGTGAGCATTTTTAAACTAACTCAATAAATTATTTTTATTGCAATCAATGTATTATTGTAATAAAGCATTGCATAAAATGTATCGAGTATTTAACTTAGGTAAAGTTGAGTTGATTATGAGCTGTATTTATTATGACTTCTTTTGTCCTTTTTTAGTAACAGATTTTTATATATGTCAAAGATTAACCTTTTTTGGATATTTCCAGAATTCTGGAAATTTTTGTAACTTTTTTTTTGCTGGATATCTAAAAAATTTTCTATACTTAAAAGTTTAAATACATCTATTTGTTTTATAAGCTTTTTCACTCATCACTCATAAAAAAATAAAGAAAAGTTTGAAGAAAAAAAAAAAGAAAAAACTCAGCTATAAGCAAAAATAAGAGGAAAATAAGAGAAAATATTTTCTCTTATTTTCCTCTTACAGATTTTTATATATGTCAAGGATTAACCTTTTTTGGATATTTCCAGAATTCTGGAAATTTTTGTAACTTTTTTTTTGCTGGATATCTAAAATATTTTCTATACTTAAAAGTTTAAATACATCTATTTGTTTTATAAGCTTTTTCACTCATCACTCATAAAAAAATAAAGAAAAGTTTGAAGAAAAAAAAAAAGAAAAAACTCAGCTATAAGCAAAAATAAGAGGAAAATAAGAGAAAATATTTTCTCTTATTTTCCTCTTACAGATTTTTATATATGTCAAGGATTAACCTTTTTTGGATATTTCCAGAATTCTGGAAATTTTTGTAACTTTTTTTTTGCTGGATATCTAAAATATTTTCTATACTTAAAAGTTTAAATACATCTATTTGTTTTATAAGCTTTTTCACTCATCACTCATAAAAAAATAAAGAAAAGTTTGAAGAAAAAAAAAAAGAAAAAACTCAGCTATAAGCAAAAATAAGAGGAAAATAAGAGAAAATATTTTCCGGGTATTTTACCCAAACAAATTTCCGGATTTTTAAAATATTGCATGGACAATCTATGATATGTATATTGTATAAAGCTATGATTGTATGTATATTGAAAAAGTTATTTTTTTTAGTATATTCTTACTGCAGAATCAGAAGTAGAAATTGATTTTAATACATCAAAAAAAACACACAAGAAAACTCCTTTAATTCAGCAAAACAGAAAGAGAAAAAAAAAAAGTATTTTTGAAGAACCTCCTTTACCATCATTACCATTGTGGGAGCCACCAAAGCTTCCTGATTCCGATTCAGTATACATTTTAAAATTTTATCCCATTCGTAAAAATAATATTTTTTTTTGTTTCATTTTTATGGTTTATTTGCTTTTTTTAGTTACCATTTTTTAATTAAAAAAAAAAAAAAGTATAATATAATCAGAATATTGTGAATGTATTTATAATCATAGTTAATCTTGTTTAGAACTTTTTGTCCATCTCTGCCTCAATGGATCAAGTAGATGACTTGCCAGTTACACAGATAGTGTTTCCATCAGAAATGCAGTCTGTTTCACAAGTTCAACCGTTACTGCATTCATCTTCTTCCTTTTCTTTACCATCTCAAAAAACTGGGATAGACCAAATAAATAACTTTATTCGGAAAGCAAATTTTGAACCCAATACTGTTGAAGGCATTCAATTTATAGTGAACTCCATGTACAGAAAACTTTGTGGGTTGGAAACAGAAATGCGTTCCATGCGTTCAATTTTAGACACTAATAATGGTAATAAAGAAAATATTAATATAGATTATTTACCAGCTAATTCAGTTGAAGAGTTTGACTCACTAGAAAATAAAATAATTAACTCTAATGATAAAGATATCATTTGCAGAAAGTTAAAGCAAATTGATAGGAGAAATGTAAGTGACTTTTTAAAAAATGCTTTAAAAACTTGTTTAACAGACAAGCTGTGCTGCAGCATTAATTGAACTGGTGCAGATAAAAAGTGTAGGTTTATAGGACCAGTCGAAAGTTTGATTTTTGATGCAGCTTACTGTTTATTTCCAACTGCCACTGAATCCAGTATGACTATAATAATTGCGAAACACTTGAAAAAGTCTAAAGATCGTTATTTTGCTGCAAGAAAGAGAAGTTCTTCTTTAACAAGTGGTATACAAATACACAGTCCTGTTAGAAAAAAAAGAAATTTAAACACTGACTCATGTAGTGATTCCAGTGAACTTATTTTTTTTGTTTATTTGTTCTATTATTTTTTATTGACTTTTTTTTTTTTAGATATTTTATTTGTTACAACTTTTTTAGCAGTTATATTCGAAAATTGATAAAGATTTTAAAAAAAAACTAAAATTTGACAGAAATTTTATTCTATTATCTTTTTAAATATCTTTTGAAATTATTAATTTAATTTAGGCAAAATCATTTAGTTGTTAATGACTTTTTATTTTTCAAAAGTAATCTATAACTTTTCTTTTAACATTTTATAATGGCTTTAACATTTATAACTTTTTATGGAAACAAATATTAACGTTTTGTATTTAATTTGTTATAAATGCAATCTTATTTTAATGGTTATAATTCACTCCCCTGAAAAATATAGCACGCGATTCTTTAAGCATATCTTCTAACCTAGCCGAGATTTTCTAGCCAAATCGCTGTCTTTATCGTAACGACTTAGTGCTAGCTATTCGCTAGCTTATTTAGCTAGCAATCCTCGTGGCCATATTGCTGTCTTTATCGTAACGAATATCGCTAGCTTGTTTAGCTAGCGGATCGCTAGCTTATAAAGCTAGCGATCCTCGTGGCCAAATCGCTGTCTTAATCGTAACGAATATCGCTAGCTATTCGCTAGCTTGTTTAGCTAGCGGATCGCTAGCTTATAAAGCTAACGATCCTCGTGGCCAAATCGCTGTCTTAATCGTAACGAATATCGCTAGCTATTCGCTAGCTGATTTCCCACCGGGTAATTTATTCAAATTTTATTTATTTCCATTTAAGTTCACCTGATCGTATACATCAACAGTATTTTTTTTTCCATTGAGTAAGTTATACCGTTTTCTTCCATATTTATCTTTTTTCATATCCATTTTAATCCGTTTTAAAAGATTTGAAATAATTAATGATATTTTGCCGCATCATTTGTAGGAAATATCATTAATTGTTTCAGTTGTTTTAAAACAACCTCAGGTTGTTTAACAACAATACCAGGAATCATTACGAATACAAGCGAATAACCTCTTAATGTTTTTTGTAAGAGAGCTACCACCCTTAATAACAGAAGATTACCTCATTAGTATATATGTTAACCTTCTTAACACAAATAGAACAAATGTGTTTTAAAAATGTGGTTTTTTCCGTAAGATTTACTGATTTTAACGTTCGTACATTTATTGCTGGTAACCATCCAACTAATGTTTAAGTTTATTAAAATTGCTCAGCATTTATGGATCAGATAAACCAGAAAAAAATTTTATTATCATAAAAATTATATAGTTTATCAGATGTATACGAGTGTACATTTGACAAGATGATGTCAGATGTATGAAATTTGCTAAAAAACTTTGTAGTACTAAATTTAAATTTAGTACTTCAAAGCTTTTTTCCCGCCATTTCAGTTTACTGATTACAGTTTTAATACAAAAGTGTCTGCAGGTGATTCATCTAAAGGTTTATTTCATAAAGTGCATAAAAGTTATAAAACTTTTTCTGCATATTTAGTAAAGGCATCAAAACAGAGTATAAATACTTCATATTAACAAGATGTAAACCTGGCATTAAATATATTTCATAAAACAACTTATGTAACAATCCAAACAAAGTTATTATCCTTATTATCTTATTGTCTTATTTTTTATAAGTATAAAACTGAAGAATTTCATATCTAAATTAAAATACTTTAACTATGGGGTGGTTAATGCAGCTGTTATGAGTTATGAGTAGGGTGATCATATTTTAAAAGAATAAAACTGTTTCACAAAAATAGGAAAAATAAGTGAGTAAATTCGGTAAAGTCTATCTACATTAGTTGGTCGGAGATCTCCAAAGGCCTCAAAACAAGATTTAAGAGGCCAAAAATAACTTAAAAATTTATGTCCGAATATGTGAAGACATTTTATTTTGAAAAACTGACACACATTCATACCGAACATTCTACTTTTTCTTGGTGTCTTCATTGTATATACGATCAGAGCCGGCTTTGAACCACGAACCTCCACTTCTAAACTTAGGACTCTAACCACTACACTATGGCTGCTAATCAAATAAGTGTTAAAAAACTTTAGAATGAAAGTTTAGAAAGAAAAACCGACTTAATTGAAATTAAAAAAAAAACAGTAAAAAAGATTTTTAATTTTATTTTAAAATTAAGAAGTATATAGCCTCCCCTTAATGATCAACAATTCAAAAATAAATGAATAGCATAAATAGGTTTTTTATCAAAACTTTACTGCTTGATTTTCAAACCCGAAGTATGCATTTGCATACACTTGCTCGTGTACAGTAAAAAATATAGCAATATGAAATAGTTAACTAAAGAAATAACACAATAACCCAGTGGGCACGGACGTAAAAAAGACGTCTTTTAAACGTCTTATGAACGTTTTGGACGTCTTTTGAACGTCTTTTGAACGTTTTGGACGTCTTTTGAACGTTCAAAAGACGTCTTTTTTAGGTCCCGTGCCCACTGGGAAGTGATGTACGTAATCAAAACAAGATGATGTTGAAAAACATCCTATAAAAATAATTATTACTTTTTTTAAATATATTAAAAGTTAATGAAAATCCTGACAACTTTGCGCCTTTCCACAGTCACGTCATATGAGTAAAATATTTTGTCTTCGATCGCCAAAAAACCAATGCGTGGCCCATGGGCAACGAAGTGGTATTCGGTATCCTTTGACACGAGTCATATATCATTTTCTAACATTTTACTGATAACATGTGAAAAAATGTGTAAAGTTTTTAAATTTCAAATATTAAGATTTCAGAGTTAATATTTGTGGTACTATGTTTTCTAACTTAATGACTTTTACTGTAAAAAGGTTGGACATACCTGGTCTAAGTCTTTTAGTGTAAAAAGGTTGAATATACCTGGTCTAATGAAGTAATCATAGGCTTTACAGATTTTTTATTCATTTAAGTCTTTAACTGAAAATTTTAGCAAGGTTAAACAGTAATTGCAAATGTTTTAATATGTAAATAATATGCCAACAAATTAGACGTCATCGGCTAATCATCCAAAGTTTTCCTTGAAATAAAACTTGGAAATAACAACAAGTTTTTTACTTAACATGTATCTCATGTTTTACTTTTTTTGATTGGTACATAGCTGTTTTCCATGTCAGAAAATACTTGATTCTTCTTCTTTTGTTCTAGATACAATGTTTTATTTTTTATCATTTATTTGCGTTTTTTATTTATTGTAATTTAGGTTGTATACTTTAAATTAGTTTGTATTTAAAAAAATTAAAAGAAACAGCTATCATTTGCTACGCTGAAACTACTGCTATCATTTACTACGCTGAAACTGCCGCTATCATTTACTACGCTAAAACTACAGCTATCATTTACTACGCTGAAACAACAGCTATCATTTGCTACGCTGAAACTACAGCTATCATTTACTACGCTGAAACTACTGTTCTTGTAGTTAGTATCTCTTGAGTAAACAATGTTCACTCAAGAATAGTAAGTAAATCTTGAGTAAACGAGGTTTACTCAAAAGTTACTAACTACGAGAACAATAGTTTTACAGCTACCATTTACAGAGCTACTACCAGCGTTCTTGTACCGTCGTAATCTTATAAATATGATAATACAATTTAGGCAATAAATAAATGATAAATTTAAGCTACAAAGTTACCTTTTCTTTCATGGTAAACATTAGTATTATTACAAAACTCTCTAATATAATCACAACCATTTTAAAATAAATTTGCTTAACATTAGATTTAATTAGTTCTGCGTTAAACATGAATATCCAAGTACAATTTCAATTAAAGGAAGTGTAACTTTTTATTTACTACTTAGCAACTTATAATTCTCATTTAAATGTAAGTATAACTGTATTGTAAATGTAAAACTCTCAATAGTAAAAGTCTATTGAGCGTATTCAATGCATATATAAAAGGAGGAGCGTCCTGAATAAAAACAACTTCCATAATCAGGTATCAAAACACTGCTTTACTTTCATATCGATCATTGTTATTTTTTCACTTCCATAAATATAATATGTGTTACATAATATAAAAGTATTTTAAATTTAATTATATTTTAATTAGATATTGTATATTATATAATTTAACTAAACATTAGTTACATAATTATATATTAATTAGATTATATATAAGTATTGTAAATTTAATTTTTTTTTTCGAGGAGACTATAGTGTGTTCTTCTATTTTTTTATATAATAAAAAGAGTAAACTTTTTTTATGGAGATTCCTTGTTTTAAACATATACAAAAAATCTTTAAATATTTTAATATATAAAGATTAGTAAAAACACTTATCTAAATTTTTCTTAAACTTCTTATATATATATATATATATATATATATATATATATATATATATATATATATATATATATATTATATATATATATATATATATATATATATATATATATATATATATATGAGAGCAGAAGCTCGTGATGGTTTGCCTTTGAATTTGCAGTTGAATTTATGAGTAAATATTTTTTCTTTTAAACGCTTTAACTAAATTAATACTTCTAGTTAATTTAAATTAGGGGTGTACCGGATTGGAAATTTTGAATTCTGGCCGGAAACGGATTTGCCGGAATTGTTGAAAAAGTTCCGACCTTTTTTAACACTTTAAAAGCTAAGAAACATTAAAAATAAGACTATTGTCAGAGGCAGGTAACATTTTTGTTAAAAAAAGAGTTTGTATGTGGTCTAAAACTGGATAGCAACTCTTTTTGCACTATACTCCTAAACTTTTAGAAATCTTTACATAAGTGATTACTGCAAGTAAAATTAGGCAAAGCTACAGATATACGGTCAAAAATATTTTTATTTTATCGCTCGTTGCGCTTTTGTGTTGAGATTTATTGTGCTTTTGTGTGGAATATTTATTCGATTTAGTACATACATCGACTATCTTATAGCGAGCTGCTACAAAGGAGTGCTACTACATTCATTATCTTATAGTCCACTGCTATAAGGAAGTGTTGCTAGATCGACTATCTTATAGCCTGCTTTTACAAGGAAGTGCTGCTACATTGACTCTGGATTTGGCATAGGACAGCAATCTTTTTTCTTTTATTATTTCAATTAAAATTTCTAATGTTTAAAAACTCTCCACAAACGAGAGCGCAACAAGCGTAAAAATAAAATTATTTTAGAGGGCTAAACTGTAGCTTTACCTAAAATTGCATTGTATTTGTTAGGAATTGTGTATTTTTTACCTAGGTATACCCATAGTTCTTCATTGCTCTATAGGACAATGATTTTTTGATTAAATTTACACAGTCTGTGTCACATGTCAAACAAATAAAATAAAAAATAAATTTTGGCGTTCCGGCTTGAAATATTATAATTCCGGCCGGAACCGGAATAACCTAAAACTCAAAAAATCCGGCCGGAACGGAATTCCGCTACATCCTTAGTTTAAATCAAACTTTAGCCAAATCAAATTGAATTTTTTAATTAAATAAATTAAAACTTTGAGTTAAATTAATTAATAACTTTAGATTAAATTAAATAATAACTTCAAATTAAATTACGACTTTATAATAAAAACTTTTATTTAAAAAAACTTAAATTATAAAATTTTTAATTAAAAGAAATTAAAACGTTGAATAAATCCTCATTTTCGGGGTTAGGAATTTCAAGCACCAAAAAAAACAATCTTGGGAAAAGTAATACTTTTATTAGCAGTATCTACAATACACAGTGGGTCAGCTATGAACACAAGTATATATATAAATATATATATATATATATATATATATATATATATATATATATATATATATATATATATATATATATATATATATATATACATATATATATATATATACATATATATACATATATATACATACATATATATATATATATATATATATATATATATATATATATAATATATATATATATATATATATATATATATATATATATATATATATATATATATATATATATATATATATATATATATAGGGGAAAGGCGCCTATGATGGCATACTTAACTTTGAAGCTTCATTATTCAGTATCCTGAAGACCAAGAACAAAAGTTTTGATATGGATACATTCTTTGCTACATGTAAAACAATAATAATCCTACCCAGCGGGCATTTTGACGTCCTAAGAACGTCCGTAAGACGTCTTAAGTCTCGTCCGTAAGACATCCTTAGTTGGTCTCAAATGAAAGGCTTGAGGACGTCTATTCCAGATGTCCTAAAGACGTCTTTTTAAGTCGTTCTAGAGACGTTTTTTGACGTTCTAGAGACATCTCTGGCTGGTCTAATTTTAAAGACTTAAGGACGTCTTTTTCAGACGTCCAAGAGACGTTTAAATTTTACCAAGACATTCTTTTAAAAAATATATAAAAATGCAATGATTTACAACACAAACCTTAGATTTGCTTTATCTAGGCAAGGGAAGTTATAAAAAGAAATCAATGTAAATAAAGTGTAATTTGATATATTTAAAATAAATTAATAACTTTACAAAAAATAAGAATAATTTTTCAAACAAAGTTACATTTTCAAATTAAAAACTAATAGGTACAGTAGAATATAATCGATAGTGCATTATAAATAGAAGAAAATTGCTTAAAAATGGAAAAAAATAAATAAAATACAACAGTTAAGCCATCATTGATCGAAATCCATATTAGTGGATGTTCTCTTTATTTGGTCAGAAGAATGCCTAATTACTTTCCAATAAGTTGAATGGTATCCATTTTGATTAAGTTTTTATTTGACTTTAAAGGAGCTTCTAATAAAAACAACAAAACATGTTTCAAAAAGATCATTAAAAAAAAATGTCATGTATACATACACTTGAATACATGTCATGTTCCATAGCCAAAGAAATTAAATTTTTTAGCTTACTAATGTGTTTGATTAATTAAAAATTAAAAAACATCATTTTTAATTTTTAATTAATCAAACACATTATTAAGCTAATAAGAATACCAGTGACAGCGTAACATAGACTTGTCAACTCTTTAAACTTTTTTTTCTTCTTTAGACAATTCATGCTGTATTCTGACAAAATAGTGTCTGTTGGCAGTCTACATAATAAAAAAGAAGATAAATGCTGTACTGTCACAATCATAAATGTTAAAATTCAAACTTTTGCTAATTACTTACAAGAGCAAAATATTTTTAATTGTATCAGCTAGATTTTTACCCCCAATTAATGATAACTGTTTTACCTAAAAAGAAACAATGTATTAGAAACATTGAAAATGTTTATAACAATTTAAGATAAATATTGTAATAATATGTAACATATAAAATATAAAGTTGAAACTCATGTATACAAAAGTGATGTATTGGATATCTCCATTTGCGAATTTTTTTTTCAAAACATTAAATTTATCTGAACTTTTATGTTGTTTAAAACCTTCTTCTGGCTTATTAGAGAACAGTGCAGTTCTATCTACTAAAATTTTTTTCATTTTAGCATGTTGGAATATAATTTTTTTCTAAAACTCTGAAAAGTAAAATATATAAGTGAAGCCATATATATAGTATATAAAATAGTAAATAGTACTTCCTATATATGGTTGAAAAGAGGTAGATTTAAACTGAGTAATGCAAAAAATCTCAAGTTTCATGCTTAACCTTAAAAAAATATAGAAACAAGTAAAGTTTAAGAAAATTATAGGGTTTTTGTCTAACGCCAAAAACTGTAAATAATTGCTTCCTATACACAAACGCACACACACACACACACTCATATATATATATATATATATATATATATATATATATATATATATATATATATATATATATATATATATATATATATATATATATATATATATATATATATATATATATATATATATATATATATATGTGTCCCAAAAAACAACATTTTTGAAAATAATCTGCTCTCACCCCCTAAATGTGTTCTATCTAATGCAAAAACACTAGGTTTAAGTTTTTTTTGAATAAAAAATATTTTAAGGGGTCCCTCAAGACCCTCGAATATTTAATGGGTCCCTAATATTTTCGAAAAAAAAGTTTTTCAAAAATATGTAAACCTGGTACTCAAATGAAGCGAAATTATACAAAAATTAAAACAAAATTGTTATTTTTGGTTTTATTACATAAAAAATTGCGTTTTTTAAAAGAAAATAAAAAAAATGATAATTTTGATAATTTTGATAAGTTAAAAATATTTCGAAATGAATATTATTTTTGAAATATTTATATAATTTCGCTTCATTTGAGTACCAGGTTAACATACTTTTGAAAAACCTTTTTTTCAAAAATATTGGGGACCCATTAAATATTTGAGGGTCTTGAGGGACCCCTTAAAAGATTTTTTATTCTAAAAAAATTTAAACCTAGTGTTTTTGCATTAGATAGAACACATTTAGGGGGTGAGAGCAGATTATTTTCAAAAATGTTGTTTTTTGGGACACCCTAATATATATATATATATATATATATATATATATATATATATATATATATATATATATATATATATATATATATATATATATATATATATGTATGTATGTATGTATATATATATGTATGTATATATATATATATATATATATATATATATATATATATATATATATATATATATATATATATATATATATAGATATATATATATATATATAGATATATATCTAAATATGTATATATATCTATATACATATATAATATATATATATATATATATATATATATATATATATATATATATCTATATCTATATCTATATATATATATATATATATAT